TGAGGGCCGTGTGCCCCGAGCAGCAGCGAGATAACCCCCCTGCCCCCCCCGGAGTCCAGACACTGGAGGTGGTAAGGCTGACGAGGATGAGAGAATGATGATTTGATCAAGCTGATGGAACCGCAAAGATAAGGCAGAGCGTCATGAATGTAGTTAGAAAGAGACTGCAGCCAGCAACTTGATTGGCTAACGCTGTAATCGTGTCATTTTGTTATGGGACCGAAGACACCATCTGATCGAGACAGCTGATCTCAAGATTGAGAGACCAAAACAATGACGGCAATGACATCATTAGTAAATATGTATGTCGGAGCGCAAAGCGGATGTATGAGAAATAAACAACAGACGTGGATAAAAGTATTGGCGTCTTAACTCACACCAGAGCTTCATCCGTTATATGCTAAATGACAGGAAGTGAACTGACATACAAAACCCACCCACTGCATTAGCCAATCACACAATATTTCTCTACGAGCCTTGCTTGTTTATGATGCAGCTTCCTACAAAGCTCAGCTCTCTAATCAGTGCTCCCTTCTAATGGAACACACAGCCCGTCCATCAATCCTTGCTGGGCAGGGCCTGGGTCTTGGAAACCAGGTACGGGACTGTGGGGGTTGGGGAAGCAGGAGTGGCAAGATGTCCTTGATCAGGGGGAACTACGTCCACACGCTCTCCGAAACCGTTGGCACTCAGCAGTGCTGGAAGCAGATTGCGTAGCACGACAGTTAAGTCTACTGCAAATCATGTCACCCCACAACAGAGATAAATTATACAGTATGGGAACCAATGAGGCTGCAAGTTCGTCCTCCCCACGAGACAGCGAGCCCAGAGGGAATTGTGCCCCATGCATTGATATAGTACAAGATGTGTCTTGTGAAGGGAAGCGCCTGTACGGCAAGTTAAAATAGTTTCTACACATCTGCCGTTCTATGTTCCCCTTCTTGAGCTGATATGAAAAGACAGATTGTGTGATTGCAAACTGCGTCTTCATTATAGCTTGCAGCTGTGGAAGGTGGAAAACGTGCATATCAAGATTATTAGAGCAGCAAGGGGGTCATTGTAGAGTTAATCTTTACTGATTAAAACTAATCAGGCAGTGAAATCTCTTAAAATTAGCTGTCAGAATGCATCATTTGATTTATGGGAAGAAGATCTTAAATAATAACCAGTTTGCACAAGCAAAAAAGCCAACTTCATTCACTCTACACCACAAAGTAATCACACGTAAGCAGCCAGGAGATCATCACGACTTCAGCTGTATAGAAGAAGAAAGTATCGGAGGTACCAAAATGTACATTCCCCATGCTCCTCATTAATTATGAGGCACACAATACAATACATTAGGTTTGAATAATTAGCTAGAGTAATAAATCCATCAAGCAGTATTCATGTCACGGTGTGGTTTTATTTCCTGTCTTATTTTGTAGTTTTCTGCTTCTTGTCTCCCTGGGTAACTTCACTTCCTGTTCCTTCCTTGTCCTGTCATTGTCTGTGATTGTCTGATTGTTTCCACCTGTGTCCAATCACCTGCACATCTATAGTGTATTTAAGCCGTGTGTGTCTCCTGTCACTTGTCGCGTCATTGTCAATCGTCCTGGATGTTCTCGGTTCCTGTGTGTGTGTTTTTCGCCCGTTGGCCTTTGCTTTTTTGCCTTTTTGACGATTAAAGTCCTTTTCGTTTAAAGTCTGCATTTTGAGTCCTGCCTTCCCCGCATCCGTGGCAATTCATCTATGAAAATGTAGAACTCCCAGATTATTACACTTTATCGTAAGTATTACGCTCAATTCCAGGGCAACAACTTCCTCATATTAACACATTAAAGTGCTCCCATAATGCACACGGAAGATTCCTCCACTTCCCTCTTTGATTTTAGAGTCAAAGAGAAAAAAGAATAACACATATGTCCCCACCACAATGATCGGGAAATGACAGGCACCACATTGTGCTTGCAGCTCAGTTATTTTTTTTATTAATGGAACCAAACAATGGTTAACAAAGAGACATCAGGCATGGTGCCTGTTTAAAATTCAGTTACCACGGGAACACTGGCCTAACATCGTCTGTGCAAGCATATCAAAATAAGATAAAGGAAAATACAAAAAGAAGGCAGAATGGCACGTAGGAATTATTTTGTCTCTTAGATGAAACACAAGGTGTACAATCGCAGGAGGTGTCGCCAAAGAACGTGACAGTTCATGCAGAGGTGGGCGCAGTGAAGTGACCCGGTGGAGACGGCGGTGCTCGGTTGAACAGTTTCAAGAAGAACGTCAGCTAGGTCTGCTCCAAAGTGGTTTCCCAGGGATGTAGAATTATGTTTGTCACCTCGGACTGACTGTAATTATGCACAGTTATTATTTAAGCATGTAAATTGCAGATCCCTTTGTAGAGGGTCATATGTGCCCAGGAATCTAGTCGGACTGTTCAAATCAATATGCGATATTTAATGTACCATATAGCTGTCTAAGTAAAAATCGAGGTGTGTATTCTCTTTTATGAAACAGACCATATGGTCTTCTCCATACTAAAAGTCTATATTAAGGATATTGAATGGATATTATGCAATAATTATTCAAATGTGGGGCTTGTAAATTATGAAAAATCTAGTCACCACATCTGCATATACTTTTATGTCAATTATTCACCTTGTGTGACCTTGAATTTGTTCACTGGGAAAGCATGCGAGAGAAAAATGCAATGTCAACACAGGATCATACATTGTTACAGATACGGTCATTCTTTGGTTGAAGTGTTCCTTTTAAAATAGTTTTCACTAGTTTTAAAAACATCATGCAGGAGAACAGAATCTGCCAACTAATTGTGTTGACCTATTAAGATTTTTTAAGGCTACTTTTTAGTCCATGGTAGGATTATAACAATAGTTTCCAGGATATGGGATGGCTTGCTGAGTCAGGCATTGCATCCTACAACACATCATTCGTGATGATAAGAAGAAGAAGAAGAAGACATTTTTATTGCCAATTATTATTTTACACATACGGGAAATTGTTCTCTGCATTTAACCCGTCCCACACAGTGGGAGCAGTGGGCTGCCGTAAAGGCGCTGGGTAGCAGTTAGGGGGTTAGGTGGCTTGCTCAGGGACACGGTCGCCAGGGACAGTGTATTTAATGTATTATCTTCGACAACCCTTTGAAAGCTTCTCTCACTTCTTAGATGCAGGTTTATCTTGTGGAGATTTGACTGTAAACAGACTGCTGGTCCACAAGAAGACTTGAAATAGGACTCCAGAGAGATTTGCATCATAACTTAAACAAGCAAGCACACTGAATAAACATGCATGTGCACAAATGTGAATCCTGCAGCAGCGCATGTGACCTGACCTTTACCCATCTGACACATGCATCGGTGACATATTCAATAGAGGTGACACGATGATCATAAAGTAATGGAGTCACCGCCCGCAAACACTGTTTGTATATGCCGTATCACCCTGCAAGTGCCTTCTTGTTTTTATCTGAAGAGTTAGCTTGACTGTAGCATTCTTCTTGTCATGGATAAGATCAAATTATTCCGGTGGAAATGTAGCATGTCATTCCATTATTGTATTAACTGCAGTGGGGCTCCTTGAACCACCTTGACAACAGTCTGGAAAACAAGCATCCAACAATTATTCCTGGAGGTGTTTAACGCAACATGCATCCACAGAAAGAGGCTTCGATCTGTGATGTGAACAAGCGAACAGAGGACCACACACTGCTCATGGTTGCACCAATGTAATGCAGGCTTGAAGTGGTGCGCGTGAAATAAAGGAAAATGACTCTGGAAGATAAGCGGAAGGACTGGGCACAGATGGACGGATGGACAGATTTTAAATCTAATTAGTCCCCTCCCTGACTCTGCCTCCAGATATTCCGTCTTGGAGTTACTGTAAACTGTGACGTGGATGCAAAAGAGCCACAATGACTGACGGTCTGTGTCGATAGGATGAGGGTGAACAGAAGGATGCATTACTGATAATTGCAACTTTTACAGTCTTCTGCAGTCAGACTTCTGCAGGCCTGCAGGTGATGAAATGAAACTTGCTGAATGGTGCAGTTATAAACTCTCTTGGACGTTTGTAGAACTGCTGGGTGAGTAATTTGTTTGTGCCCAAAATCTGGGAGTATGCTTCATAGTGTTGTTTCTCGCTACGACCACAAAATATATTACTCAATTCCCTTTTTGTTGTGTAGTGTTTTTACTTATTTTTAATCGCGAGTTAACTGGAAAGTGTCATTGACAATCACCCTTTCTGGATCAATTTATCCCCGAAATGACCAATTTCAGGGATCCCATTGTAGATTTTTACACTCTATTTTAAGATGGGAAACTATGCTACTACACAGGTCAGTTTGTCCACCTTCCTTTAAATAACTCTCATAAATGCAAAGATTGATTTCTAAAGAAACTGATATAATTCTAGTTTGAGATTTGTGAGTTTCCTCACTCTGCAATTCCCACATTTCTCACAAATCCGAAGCGCCCACGCCTGCCCCCTCTGCCACACCCGTGACAACACACTCCGTCCTCAATTAGCGCATTATCTCCAGCATCAGCTGTTAGCCTGTGTAGCGCCACACAGAGAAATCACAACCTTTACACTGCCGTGTGCATATAAAGCTCTCTTAATAACCCGAAGTGGGTTTGAATGTTGGAAAGAAACAGGTCTGATCGGGCGCGATTTCATCCAGCAGACGACAAGAAAAAAAAAAAAAAACGTGCACCTGCTGACTCTTTCTGCTATACTGGGCCGTGATATGCATGAAGAAAGGATGCCCCGATTAAACCAGCATGCCGTCCATATTGTTCAGATTAACGCTAACGTGGGCAACACTGCCCATCCGTCCACGAGACCCGAGGCACAAAGCGGGGGTCTTTGCACCGGTACGAAGACGCTCCCCGTTCCCTTACTACAATGTCATCTCCTGACAACCTGGCAAAAAACAATGCAGCATGCACCTGTTCCGCTGCCACTGTAACCGCACAAATCCGAATGCATACCTGTCCCGTCAGGTGCTGTCGGGTCCGGCGGGTCAAAGCCTCTCAAGGCTTTTCAGGACAGAATGTGATGCGTTGGGATCGCTGACAAAAAACTGGAAGACGAACGCCGCCGCCGCCGCCGCGCCGCACGCCTTTCCTCTGCCGCGGGAGGTGTCCCGCTTTTTGCAGGCTGGGACCGCAGAAAAGGCTCCAGCCGGCAGGGACGCTTGCGGTTTCGGGAAAGGGGCTAGCGGGAGAGGAGAGGGGCGTTTTCACCGTGAAGAGAGGGAACTCCGAACGTCGTGCGTGTCATCCGCGGAGCGCTGCGCGTGTGCCGCGCCGCGCCTCTCTTCGCTCGCCTCAATGATTTTTCGGGGCATCTTTTCTCACCGTGAAGCACAATCGTTCAGGGGCTTTTTGGCTCAGCACGTGTAAAAAAGGGCAGCCTTGTTTCACTGTCAGATGAAAAAGAGATATTGTATTTTGGAGAAGGGAATGTGAGAGCTTAAGGATGGTTATATCTCATAAAAAATATCCCTTGAATTACTTGTTTTGCATTAGTAGGAAATATTGTAGTCTATTTGAATTCGACATGAAGAAGGGGGACACCTGCTGAGTTCCCGCTCCAGAGCTTTTGGCACAGCACAATAGACTGATGCTGCCTGTTGGAGCATCCTCAGATGCAATTTATGCACCTGTTCGTTTTTAACAATTCAAATTGGATGTGCGTTATGCATTAATAATGCTCTTGGCTAACTAATAGATATGTTTATTCATTATTTTCAGAACAGGGGATGTTGCATGTGTACAGAGCGTAAAGCCAATTGAGGCACATTTATGTTTTGTGATTTTGGGCTCTGCAAAATAAATGAATTGAATTAAATAGTTTTTAGCTGGATTGATTTTTCCCAGATGAGCAAGGAGATGTCAAATCAAACTTATGTCTTGCTTAGATCATACAAATACATCTTGGTAAAGGAATATCATTTGCACTATGTGAGATCTTGCTTTTTATGATTAATATCCTCTATCTGGTTCCATTGTGCTAGAAAAGCAAAAAAGTTATTCACAGGTTCATCAATATTTAACTCACAGCATTGAGTGCATACAGTTATAATGATAAGTGCGTAGAGAGCAGCGTGTTTGATGAAGGGTTAGGTGGGTGATGAATTAGATTGTTGACTCATAAGAATCGTTTTGTGCTGAACGCCCTCTCTGTTCAGTTCAAATGCAAATATGCATATGGGAAATCTATTCCAGTCACGCATCCGCGAGTCTCCTTCAGCTGCTTGCAGGATGCAAAAATTAGCAGCTAAATGACTTCATTGCCATGGAGCGAAGTGTAGTATATCTTTAACCACTGTTTCTGTAATAGTTATCTTAATATTGAACAAACGCCCTATTCAAATCAAATAGGATATAAATAGGACATTTTCTTGTTAATATAAAAGACAAGGTCAAGTAGTCGTAAAGAGATCTCTCCACAGGGTGGCGGTCAGACACCATCGGGACAACCATGAACAATGAAGCATATTCACATGTGTCACCCTCATACCTGCATACAAAGCCTCTTCTGAGGAAGAGGAAAAGAGGAAGAGGAAAGAATGTATTACCAGCAACAAAATGTTCCTTTCAACTTGAAGTCAGACGTCTCAGACTGTGAGATCTTTCAAATGTGTTAGATTCTTGTAAATAAAGTTTAAATAATTTTAAACATATTTCCATCTAACATGAAGTATTTTTAATACATGTATTAGCTCATTTGGAGACTCTCAGCATGCAAAGTTTGAGAATTTAAACTCTTCTTTTTGTGGTATTTAATATATATTTAATAGCATTAAGTATCTACTCAAGTACAATAATCTATTTAACAATGTCACTGTAAAGTGTCCGGTGTATTTACACAAATTATGAAATGATATCGAAAGTTGTGTCAAAGGAAAAACTGACTTCAAAATGATAATTGAAGTTTAGTTTATACAATAAACTTTATAGTAACATAAAAGTAGCATTGTGACACATTTCAGTTACTGAAAATACAACTAATAATGGTAATAGTATCGTATATTAAACACAATGGCTGTTAACATTCTTCCACAAAATGTAGGGTATTTTTCCAAACTGGAAATGGAGATCTAAGCGTTGACGTATCCCAAGCGTTGATGGACTTAAAATACATGTAAATACAATGATAGATTGTGAAGACTTATATGTTATGTGTAGCTGTGGCACTCATCCGATTCATCTTCCTTTGACATCAGTTATTGGCTGAAGAGTTGGAACATATACAACAGTTTCTACAAATAACTCTCTCTAGGATCTGGGAAGAGCTGACCTTAGATTCTTTGCACCATAAACCTTTTGGAATGAACTGCCGTCTACTTTGAACCTTTAAGTCAATTTAAAAATCAAGTCAAAAGTTTATTAAATTATCATTGTGTTAAATTACTTTTTTTATCAATTGATTCAATGTTTTTCTCTTAGTTGATTATTCCGTTACAATAAATATATTGTATTATTAGAGTATGGCTGCCAATGCATTAATGAATCATTTTATGTATAAATAATATATTATCTGTTTGCTAGTACAGTGTTTCGTGTCCAAGTTTATCAATGTGAATTTCACATAAACAAATCAGAACATCACATTTTTCACAGTGGAAAAGAAAGTTTAAGTAAGAAAAAATACTGTGAAAGAAAACAAAAGGCTGTTTTATAAGGAGCCGTTGTGATAGAAAGCACGTATCTCATCTTAGCTGCTAGGGTGGGGTTTGCTTCAGATCAACCACTTTCATGTAGGACTTGGCATGGGTGGTTGAACAAAACCATTGAAGTTTGTTTCTCAAAGCCGGCACATACTGTCCCTATGGCGTGCAGCCGGCGCACTGTTGCTCAACATCCCTGCTGCATCTGCAACGGCCTCCATTGTGGGACTGAAAAGAGAATCATCTTGGCTGTGATCGGCAGCTGTATCCGTCTTGCTTATTTGTCTCACTAACACACAACTTTAATAGACTGGTTAACAATTTCCTTAAAGACATGCTCAAGTGTTTGTCTGCGGCTACGGTCTTCTCCATATCAAAGCAGGAGCATGTGCAGTGTGTTTTTTTTCCAAATTCCTATGGAGCCAAAGAGGTGTGATTCCACACTTCAGATGTTTCAAGCCCGGGGCTCAAGTCATTTTCTTTTGCATAGCTCTATTTCGCAAATGGCAAATTTGCCTGAAGGGTTTTTAAAATGGGTGTAATAAATCAAACCCCCTGTCAGAGAATGTGATATATTCTGTTACAAGGTGTGATAAACGTATACCCCTAATTCAGATAAGGAAATCCTCCCACACACAACACTTTAACAGGAAAAAATGGTACCTCAGGAAGAGCAACTGGAAACGGGTGTCATTATGATCTTATTGAGACCACAACTCCTGCTGGTACTCCTCACAGATCCGTTCTTTATCATTACTTTTACTGAATAACATACAGACCGCTGGTTGCCGCTTGTTTGTAATACATCACTATCATCAGATCTTGTGCATTTTGCCCGAGCAGAACAGATTTAAAGCCCGCTAAAGCAACCTGGAGCAGACATACTTTCTTTCAATAACGTAGAGGTGTGAGGCAGACAGCCTGAGGCGTGTGTCGTAGAGGTACAGCTTTAAGAGGCAGACATTGATCAATTCCATGTGCCAACAAATCAGTAATTTATGGAATTAAATTCTTTTATGAATCTTCACACATAATTATGTGTACTTGCAGCAGGTGTGGTGCCACAACATGCACTGATACGTGTCTCAATTCCCTCTGGGCATCAACAAAGGCTGTGACAGACAAGCCCATTGAGATTAATAAGAATGTTGTCATCACCCAGGTCAGCCTTATTTATACAAGTTCAAACCTATTTACTGCAGCTAATAAACATGTTTTCACTTTGATGAAGCTCTTACTTCTGTCATATGTTAAATGTGAAGTTTAGGAACACCTTCATATATGATCTGGTTAAGTGTTTAACACTAAAAACACCACTAATCTCCTTTGTCATAATCGATTTGATGTCAGCGTTGATTGACAGTGACAGAAAACAACCTTCTGACTGGCATCACGTTCTTATGGAAATGAAGCAAAATTCTGATCTTGGTTGGAAATACACGACAACAACTTTAATAACCAAACTGCACCTTTGGAGAAACAAAAATAAACATGAATAATTGGGTTTTATTAGGTTTTAACTGGTGCGACGTTGTGAGATCACATAGGATCCGATTGCTCATTCTAAGAGGACGGTAGAAGAAGGTGAGAAGATGATTGAGACAAAGAGGTTGAGTTCACAGCGAGTGAACAACAACTCACACTTGAACACTCCTCACATTCCGCAGATGAATGAACTAGTGTTTGCATGTTGCTCCTTTCCTTCAGGTGAGACTGTCAGCTTTGTAACAGCTCAAATGTTTTGGAAGACTTGTTAATATATAATTTACCTTGGTAGGTCCTACAGCTTCATGCCTTGGGCCAACAATCCGACATTTTATGAAACAAACCTCATCCTTGTGCAGCCGGGCTGTTGCTTGAGCGTGTACTCCGTTGTCAAGATACTAACTTGCAGATGCCAGGTGCAGTGTGTGGTCAGTTTACTCTCAGTGTGCGTATCTGCAATGACTACTGCTGTCCCGTGTGATTGAATGAATATAGATGGTAGTACACAGTGAATAAACAGTGTGCAGGATGAACCGTGGATAACAAAGAGGTATACGGTCGCTCACACACGGACGGGCGGACCCACACGAAGATAAAACACAAAAACAATGAGGGTGAAATGGAGGTAATAGTGCATAATGAGGTAATGGGGCAGAATGGAGGTAGTAGACTGAGTGGAAAGAATCTGTTCTGGTGTCTGGTTGTTTTTCCGTTCAGCGCTGTGCGGCGCCTACCAGAGGGGAGGACCTGGAACTGGTTGTGTCCAGGGTGTGAAGGGTCTGCAGTGTCTCCTGACTCCGAAGTCTTGGGTGGAGGGCCGGCTGGAACCGATTGTTTTCTCCGCAGACGTGACCGCAAGTGCACAGCCTCCGCTGGCTTCGTCTTCAAAATTGGTGTTGATATTCGTCCAATATTTAGATGCTGGGAGATTGTGGATCCAAGAAACCCCAGGGGCTCCACAGCAGACACGGTGTTGAAGAACGTGGTTAGGAGGGCAGGGTTCTCATCTCCACAGGTTTGAGCGTGTTCAGGTCCAGGTTGTTCTGGACCACACTAGAAGGCCAGCTGTTCTCCGACTTATCACCTCCTCTGATGAGGCCAATGACCCGTGGTGTCGTCAGAGAACGTCCAAAGCTTAACGAGACGTTATCCTTGGCGTAGAGGCAGAAGAGCCGTGGGGATAGGCACACATCCCTGGGGTGCGCTTGTATGGGCTAGATAGGAATTTTCCCAGCATCTCCCAGTGGTGGAGGATGGCTCAGTGAGCTGGGAGAGTTGGGGTTTCAAGATCTTCATGCACAGTAGCCTAACACAGCAGGGTGACTATTTACTTTGTACACACTTCAGAAGGAAACATGACGATTATTGCATACCAGGCACACGTTGGGCTAACCAACCTACCTACCCCATGAAACAAAAGCAAAAACACCATCTGCACTCATTTGCTGTGTGATAAATATGTTTGTGGATTGATATGTCGTTTATTTTCACTGATTAAAATGCACATGACATTTTATTTTCCCAACTCCGCACGTCAAATAATTGTGTTGGGTTGCACAAAACGGCAGGAAAATTTTAAATGTCTTGCACAAAAATTAGCTGGATGCCCTATGAGGCCCATAAATTTACCATATTAGCTACTCAACATTATACATCTTTGCTCAATTTAATGAGTATTAGCAGCAGAGGTGGACAGTGATCAAACCCGAGTCAGCTTATTGGCCTGACAGCTTTCAAAGTTTGTAACGGTTCGTGTTCGGACACAAATGCATGACACACGACTCCAGGGCTCTTTGACCTTTTATTAAAGCTCCGGAACAACACGCAGAATAACGACGGGACAGATGGGCTGTTAGGTTCACCGGGAGTTGGGCTAACGGAGTAAACAGGGGCAGGCAGGGTGAGCAACAGGAGCTCCAGGCTGAGCATAAACACTGGAGAGTCTGACATGGAAGCAGAAGAACCATCTGGCTGCGAGTGAGTGAGTGACTGGGGTTTAAACACTGAAGGGAGTGAGTAGAGTAGACAGGTGAGAGTGATTGGGCTGACGAGGTGAATGTGCCCAGCAGGTGTAGAGAATGAACTTATTAGGTGGAGTGAGGGGGATGTGGAGCTAAACTGTGACAAGGTTGGTACGTAGAGAGGGTCCTTAAATCATCTTACAGTTACAAGAGATAGATGATAGATGGGTGAAAGCGTAACAGTTTACATAATTGCTAATGTTTAATGGTAAGAGTTTCGTTTTTCCAAAACTTTATGAGGTTGAAAGCCAAATAAAATATAATAAAATCTACCCAAAGATGATTACTCTGTAGTACAATGTGCGCGTGGGCTTTGGCCTTGCGGCAGTTTCACATCCAAATCATTCATCTTTTCATCCTCCGTGCATGTATCTGTGTTCACAGTATAACACAATGACTTTGTAAAGGATCATGGTAAACGGTATATGTCTGATACATCGACTCAAAAACCAACACTATGACAACTGGCAACACAATATTATTGTGTCTGGAAAGAGCAGGGGTTGTCACAGAAGTTTATAAATAAAAAGGGGCTTTTCTGCCTTCTCGTTTAATTAACCAGAACACAAACTGTAAGCCGTGGTATCGGTCCTGAACCTGCCGACAAAATGTCAGGTTGTTCGCACAGAAATATTTCCCAGGAAGATCAGTGGGAATGAAGGCTGCCTCTCTGAGCGATATTATTGGTGCTCGTTGCAGAAGGTTCATATTGAGGCTCCAGGGTAAGCTTATTTAGGGCAGACTCAGCATGACATTCCAGGATGATACGTGGTATTAGGGCATCAAAGGGTCTGGTTGGTCTCACGTTCTATCTTAGGCGGTAAACAGTGTTTGTATGGCAGAAATTAAGCGTAAAATCAATCTGATAACCTAGAAGAAGAATAATGACTTTATAAAAATATGACAAATGAAAGTTCATGCTCCAGCAATCAACATTATTTTTCATTCTCTAAACAGCAAAGTATGCTTTTTGGAACAGCAGCAACACAATTGTTTTCCAATTTTCTTGGCCAAACAAATTGCCATTTTCTTAGTAACTTTCGAGATAACCTAACTTTCTGCCTTTGTGTGTTTTATTACCATTTTCTGCACCGCCCTTGATTGTGTCCACCTGTGTTTATCCATCCACAACATCCAGCGTATTTATAACAAGTTCACGTGTCAAGCGTTCCAACCATTTCCTACAATCCACGTTGCTGGTTTTTGATATAACTGCCTAGTTTTTCTAAACCACGTTTTTTCCCTCGTTCCTGCCTCATTGGTTTTCCATTTCTGACAGTCTACCTGTGTACCATATCTGATCTGATAAGTAAAGACGAGTGTTACCTGCACCTTATCTTCCATTATGGGTCGTGCAATCCAGTCCTGTTTTTCCTGCGGTTCGTGCATGTCAGTGCCCCCATTGTTTTGCTTATTTTTCAGCTTCCTGTCTGCTTTTTACAATCATCACTTTCTTCAAATGTCAGAGATACCTACTGATATGGGCATGCTAAGCAACTAGTACTAACTGTTTTTTGCTCTTGTATGACCACTTGAGGTCCTTGAGATGTAGGCTACTAGTGAGTCACTGCAGCGTCCAATCTGCAGTCCAACCAGAGAGGAAGAAGAGGGATTGAGTGCCCCCGAGGGCCTGTCAATCAGGTTGACGCCACTGGGTAGCCTACATTTAAGTTCTGATTGCCTCTCCACTGGAACAATTCCAAAGCGGCAGAAACAAGAAAATAACTCAACCTTGCCTCGCACTGTTGGCCTCTTGTTATCTAAAAAAGGATGAAATTTGTAGGTAGTGGTATTTTTTTAATTTTTATGGTGGTGTATAGTCGTATAGGTCGTATAAGTCTTAAATCAGCATCACAGTCCCACTGGCCAGCAACACTGAAGGTCTGTAAACACTATTAAGGTATTACTGGTACAAATAATTAAACAAAATGCATTTAACAAAATGTAGTCATCTCCAGTTTTTTGTGTGTATCTCAACAATGGCTGAAATCAATCAGATCAAGAAATGGGGTTAACCTTGGAAACTTCAGGTTTAACCTAAAGTTTTCATGGTTACGATGGCGGTTACCTTTTTACCAAAGAAGATCGCTATGGTAACTTATGCTGCTCAACTAACCTGCTGCGGAGAAAGCAGCCTGTTTAGGCCATACGTGCTTTAAAAAAATGCATTCTCCCTAACCTGTCTGTGGCACTCAGATCCAGCCAATACGTTTTTAATGAGATGTCAATCTGTAAGAGAATTAGCCACAAATTCACAATATACAAAAGTTAAACTCTGCCTTTGTTTAGACGTTACCTACAAACCTGTAACGTTTTAACTTCATCTTGCATGGTTGCAACGCTATCATGGTAACAAAATATGTTCACAGGCACACAATTTTAACCCACCTGGCCGAGACACACACTCACAAGTTGACACCAGCATTGCTGTTGTGACCCGTAAACATAACAATCTGCTGAACTGATAAGCTGTGTAAGAATGGAACCAAAGCTGGGGGAGACACAGTAGTTGCTGTTAGTAGAAAAAGTGTACAACAATACAATGAGATGAAATATTACATCCTTACTGGGTATTGTTAGCAATACCCAGTGTTACTGTACTGTACTGTACCTCGGAATTGTTGCATGTAACATAATTAAAATGAATAATTTATGCTCTACCAGACGAGTATGCTAAATTACCTAAAGTCAACACACCCGTAACACTGCATCACTAACAGGTACATTCTGGATATTGACAACATGCTAAATACTAGCATTTGATCCTGCAGCGGTAACTTTTGCGTACACTCAGAAACCTTTTTACTTCTGTGTGGCCTATTCTTTTGTTTGTGTCACTGACATGACTGCGGAACACAGGGGGACGGAGAGGCCGAAGAAATCAACAAACCTTCAGGTTAATTATAGAGCAACCACCGATAGAAATGAATTGTACATTTACAATTGATGATCAGTGGTATGCAAAGTGAGATCTATAGAAATGTGTTGTTGGTTTGGACATGGGCTCATGTTACTCACAATATTCCAGTTATGTAAATGTGGGCCTTAAATTGCAATTTTATATTTATATTTTATTTATATTCATTATTATTTTATATTTAGTTTAACAGTAGTATCACATATAATCATAACCCCCATTTTGCATACAAATTACAGGAAGAAATAAAATATGATGTTTTTCACAAGTTAAACTTATGCATAAGTACATTTGAAGCAATTAGTGGATTAAAAAAAAGATAAGCAGCATCTTAATCAATAATGTAAATAATAGTAAATTGAAGTTCAAGAAGAGGTTTTAAATTAAAGATCCTCAACCACCTCAACCAACTACAACACTAAACTTGAGTATAATAATTTAGTGATATGCTACAAAAACAATACACACACAGACATGTTATGTTTAATACTTTACGTATTTTTTCCTGATTAAACTTAAATGCTTTTATTAATTTAATGTATTAATATAGTCCTTTTAATTGTCATCTTTTTTAGGGCTTAGCACTGGGTAATCAGATAAACAAGGCAAGCTGTCAGAATGGGATTGGAAAACATTGTTATTGGACTAATTTGAGCAGAACACAACCATAGATAGCTCATTATAAGGGCCATGACAAGTAACAAGTGATGTGACTTATTGTTTCCTTGCAAAGAGCGCAAATTATTGCTGCTGAAAGAGTGTTCAGACAGCTTGTGAATGCTTTCCAAACTGACTGTAAATAGTCTCATAAATCAACGCTCAATAATATGCACCAGAGCACACTGAGCAAAAACCTCTCCCATATTTTCGTTGTTATTTTTCATTATTCCTATGGCAAGATTTTGCACCATCCTTTGCTTCAACTTTACGTGGCTTATTGTGCCACTCTTTGATTCCCAACATTGTCATACATGTGCCTTTTTGATCCCTTATAAGTTGGTACAAGTTTACAACAAGCATAGTCCTCAACACTATCAGGTATGAATTTTTGATCAAGTTTGATCAAGAGAGGTCTTAGGCTATTATTTCAGGGTGGAAGTAATCCTCATGGTGCTCTTAGGAGGGGGAAAAAAGAGCCTCTGGGAATCTGTATTGAATTTGCTGAGGAGTGCTGGAAACCAGATGGAACCTGTTCCAAGAGTTGTGATGCGGAGGAATGTCTACTGTTAAACTCCAAAGTGTTTTCTTTGAATGTGTAACTGTGGAGGCAAGGGTTGCAAATGGGAAGGGAAGACGGTGAAGAGGAGGAAAGGGTCCACGGAGAGGGAGGATGGAGAGGTATCAAACTGTCATCCAGGACCAGGGACTCTGTGGAGACTCCTGATTGTCACTGTCTGCAGGGGGCTTTAAAGCAAATGTTTCCCATTAAATAAGTAATATCCTAATAAATGTATAAACTTTTTAATCATTTTTTCTTTTACCATGGTTAATTCATTTTACTCTTCACTTTTAATTAGCATGACGTGATGATTTAAAACTAACAACATTTAGGATCCGGTGAATGGCATTTTTTCCAGAAAGGAGTAGACTGACCTCGATAGGCAAAAATCACGGCACTGAGGGTCTGCATGGAGCACAGCGCAAACGCAGCGCTGAGCCTTTGCCTCCTCGTGGTCGGCCGCCTGTCTGCTGACGGCACGTCTGCTTCGCTGGGATCCTCTGTAGCTTGACATCCCATAGGGCACAGTGCGTCTGGGGAAGTAAAACAGACAGAAGCCATTCTCAAAATAAGTAAGTAAAACCGGAGATTATTCACATACGTGGGGAAGAGAATAACAAGAGGTATTTAATACGGTTGGTTTTATTGAGAGTTCAAACATTAACATAACCAAAAGTGATATATAGGCTTTCACAGGGTCAAGACCTGCACAAGTGATGTTACGGCAGTTTTGCTTTACAAAAGAGAGGCTCCCTGCTTCTGTTGATGGATGACCTGCTCCGTAGGGTTCAAGAATACCAACTGAATTCCAATTTAGTAGAAATTGCACATTTATAATTCATGTGTAATTAAAACTTTTTAATCCAAGCAGAACCTTTTTGTAATAACATTAGCAGTAGATGTTTCACTCAACAGCTCGTGTTTTGCTGTCAATTATTGATGAAAACTTTTGACAGTAAACATTTGCTTTTAGTTAAATGTATTGTTAATGTAAAAATAAACATAGTCTCAAATTGAAGTGAATAATAAATCTGTAATACAACTTTCAAGGATTAAATTGCTTATCATCTCTCCAATTTCTCCTTGACTCTCTCATCTCATAAAATCCGTGATGAAAATGACGAATGGCCAAAGAGGACGGGGAGTCTGTAAGCACCCGAGTTACGTTTGTGCAAAGTTGAGAAAGGTCTGAAAAAGCTCCTGATCCATTAAGTCTGTTTTTACAACATTTTAAATAAATTGCTTTCTCATATAGATCTGCCAGATAATAACGGACTGTCTGCTGCTTGTGTTTGATTGAATACCTGCCAGTTTGGCACGCTAAGCGAAATTATAATTGTAGTGTATAGACTAGCTGTCAGGGGAGACGACGGACTGACAGTTGGTTGCTGGGCCAAAGTCTTATGCGCCAATATTAAGCTTGTATGAAATATATAGCTTGAAAAAGTCAGAGCATTTTGTGATAGTATCTTCTACCCCAGTTCACCGCTCCACCGAACGTAAGCATTCATTGCAAAACGCACCTACCACCTACTTCAAATTGTCCAAACATGCAGTACTAAAGTGTGCTAGTGGCAGAAGAAGAAAGAGGAAGCAAGAATGCCTTCTTAATGTTTGCGGTTAATATGTAGCAAAGAAAATTCCTTTAAACGAGGAGTTGAAAATTACATTTCATGGAATTGCTGATAATTTGTGGTGAGCTAAGCCACATGTTGAACACATGTTGTTTGAGCACATGTGTGAAAAAATAATGTAAGCTTACACCTCCACCCGTCCCTATACCTTTGCAAGCTGCGGTGGCCTTAAGAGAGGGATGAATATCTTTAGCAATCTATTACTGCTACAAACTACTTTTATTGATACTTTTTTAAACTAAATTGGATGTTCTTTTTGTGACTAAATTGTTGCTTATGTTACATTTATACATTTTTAAAATGAAACAAATTTAGAAGAGACTTACAATTAAAGAGTATTGAATTGCATTTTGAATATAATTATTATATTGTTTCTGAAGCAACAATAGTAATGTTTACAACTAAGTCATATATTTCTCGTTCAATGTCAAAAAATATTAGCTAAAATTCTTCAGTGAAATTCATTAAAAATACATAACATCAGTAACATTTATTCCTCTTGTCCTCAGATGTAAATCGCTGTCTGTGTGTGTTTGTGTGCGTGTGCTTGTGTGTATTTGGAGAAGCTCAGCACGGACAGACAGAGCAGAGGGGATGCATGTTACAACGTGACAATGAGTGACACTGAGACAAAGCATCTGTTACTTCAAAGCCTGTATTTAACAATTTAGCACCATAGAGCCCGTTTTCATGATGATGATGTTTCAGATTTCTTCCCCTCCCCTTAGGTAACGTTGGTATTGCGAAAGCCTCTCGCCATAAGCCTATGTTTGATTTGCTCGTTTTGGGCTGCTGCAGAAACATGGAGGTGTAACGTTGTGGACATTGAGGAAGAGGACCCACTATGTGTATATAAATGGCTTTAACTAAAGAAAACTCTTGGATTCATGTCAATATTATATCATAAAACAAAGTAACAAAGAATGTGTAAAAGATTCAGACAGAGGAAGAGTGACAGCATGAAAAACGCTCAAGGTTAAAGTTTTCAAAGAGCCTGCATCCCTTATAGCTTTGGGGAAGGAATTCCACGGGCTGCTCCTCCTCCTCATGTTGCAGGAGACATGGAGGACGTCACATTAACGGCAGTGGTAAAGAACCTGGACCAAGTGAGAGTGCCGTTGCTGTCCAAAAGCTGAGCATTCAGGAGAGGAGGATAGCTGGGATAAAGATGTCTAGGAACAGGACTGATGTACTGTTTTCACGTTTGAAACTCCATAATTGATTTTCCAAATGTTATTTTGGTCTATTTCATGGAGGCTGATGTTGGTTTTCAGCTTGGAGTAAGCAGGTAGACGTAACACGTCAACCATCAGGCTATCGGGTGACTCACTTTTGTGCGCCTATATTAAAGCAAACCTGAAAGAATTATCCTTGGAGTGAAGTCATGATAGATGTTCCAATATTCCCTCCCAGACGCCTAATGCCAGACATTGAGGAGGCGAGAGCTGACCAGTGTGCTCCATTTATTTTGAGTGGCTGGTGAGTTTGTACAGCAGCGTGGTTTCTTTCTTCGGACTGGCAGTGTGTCCCCCGCGACTATAAACCCTTCTGCCTCTCTAGCGGCTTCGCCATGCACTTCATTGTAAGTGACGTTGCATTTGAGTGAACAATAGCGCACTTATGTCTAATTAGAAGTGTTTTTAATTAGTTTCCCTTCTCCACCTCCAATGGAGAGCAGCAGACGGTCGCTTATGTAAACTGTGTCAGACCCAAAATTCTGAGTGGCAAACATGTGTGTCTGAATAATGTAATGCACCGCAGACTATACGGCAGGTAGATTGTCTTATATTTTGATTTCATTCTCATTAAGGAGAAGGAAATATCACCAAAAAACTACCCCAGTTTATTATTTCCCCATAAGGACTAAAATGTTATGTTTAACTATATGCAAATGAAGAATTTGCATATAACATGCTGAACATTGAATAGTGTCAGGTTCAACAACTATTTGAAAAGCTGTTGACAGTGTGGGCACCTCGCTGCACTATATTGTTTTCCAACACAAAATGATGCTCAAAAATTCATTAGAATGCAAAAAAAAACATTTGAAATGTGTCCAATGGTCAAACGAAGCGTCCTTGCTTGCACAATAGTTATTGTAAAAACAGCAATTTTATAAGATTTAACAAGCCATCCTTACTCGGGAGTGTTGATCCAGATGATATCAAGGTGGCAGTAGTAGACGCACTCTTTATCCTTGTAAGAATAGCAGGTACAGCGCTTCGGTCTGGACTTTGGCTCGGTGGCATCAGACATCTGTAAACCTCTGGATCTCCCGGAGCCAAACGCACCGCTGGGCTGTGGGAGACGCGCGGGGTGGACCCCGGATGTCCCCGGGCCGTCGGACGTCCAGACTCCTAGAATGAATAAAGTCAGTTATCAAGTAGTAAATAAGGGGGGGAAGCCTGTTGCGCCTCGTTGGAATAAAACGTACCTTGTAAGAGAATCAACGCAAGCACTCTGAACAGCATGGTTCTCGCGAGGACGGGTAGTATCCTTGTCATGTCAAATATTCCCAAAATGAATCATAGCCGAATGAGGATGGTCAAACCGATCTCCCACCAGACGCGGGAGAGATTCCATCTACTTCTGCGAGGATCTCCATGTGCAGCTAATCCCACCGCGTCCAGGTGTCAAATAACGGATCGCAGGTTCCTTTCATGCGCATAGCTTTAGGTCATAAATCACACCTTTGTAACAACTACTTTAGACTGAGACTGAACTGGGGGTTTCTAAAAAATAAAAAATAAAACAGATACGCAGTAAAGTGTCCTTTGTTATTGGACCGGTGGAGCAGAGAAAGCTGCGATGCTCCTCGAAGTCACTTCTCCGTCTAACGCGCAAAGCAAAGGTAAAAGGTGGAGGAGCGTCTGCACGCCCGCCTATTGCAACAAGTCAGTTGGAAATGAAGCAACACTGCGTGTGTGGACCGGGGTGAACTCCACGCCACTTGAGTTTCAGTTGATGCATGACACTTGACTACTTGAAATAATATATTATATATTATATTATACTTTGTCAAATACTAATCTTTTTGGTGTGTGGGGGGGGGGGTATTTTTCATACAGAACCACCTGCAGCTGATTCTGCTTTGGTCTTTGAACAGCTTTGGAGTGTGAATGCCTCATCGGTTCCAGTTTTGTGGCTGAAAAAATTTAAAATCATCAATCAGTCAATTAGATGTGTTGTCAAAGTGAGAAAGTAGCAAGCTCAGCCGCTGTGAGTCATCTACCGGTGAACAATGTTATTTGCAGAATTGTACCAACTCTCCCAGATGTGTGCTGAGGCATGGCCGAGACATCAGCAGGAACCCCAGAAGGACACAAAGAAGTTGCACGTTGCATCAACAGTCTTTTGAATCTATGATGGACAGAAAAGACAAATGTGTTTTACAGGGCTGTTTCCTTTTTTTGGAAAGTGAAAAGTCTGGAAACAGTTTACCACCAATAATCTCATGTGCCGCATGGGGACACTCAAGATGCAGCCAAACAGCCATAACGTTTTATTGATTCAAACTCTGGAATTCTGTTGACAGATTTAATTGCCGTGTTGAGACAAACATGTTTTTTCCTACTGTGGACCACATTGGGTTCAAAAAGTTATAGTGAAACAAGCGAAAAAGAATGTACGCTGAAGTTGAAGCCTGCAAGACCATTACGACGTGAAGTGTTAGTCACACAAATTTTTATCATCGTATCTTTCATTTGAGTTAAACAATCAAACCACTCTGGGGCATGAGTGTGTGTGACGCACATTAACTGGCTCGAGTTATCATAGGAGCTAAATGGGATTTGGGAATTTGAGGGAGATATTGTGTGCACATACAACTGAAAAAATGGATTTTTATGAGGGTGCACCTTAAGCTCTCAGGTTGCTGTTGTGAAAACAAACACACCTCAGTGAGGCCCTAACCCCAATTTCCTTTTACTTTGAGTTGCCTCTTGAGGTGATTATTACCATCATTCACCGGGCTGCCGTAGACATCTGAAACAGAGGTTTACATAGGAAACCTGTAAAAGTGTCATACAACTGTCGTGTCATACTCGAACAAAGAGATGTCTGATGAAAAAGGTTTAAATTAAACATGACATACTCACGCAAACACTGACAAATTGGGATATTTGAACGTATAAATCACGAATGCGCTTATGTGAAACGACGGCTACCTTCGTTTCAAGATTGGCGCATTGGTTGATCCAAAACCCCTCATGCTGTTTACCCTTTCGCTCTCCGGGTATTAATGTGTTGGATTTGTGCTTTGCTACTCGGCTTAAACCTAAATCTGTCTGACTGCCCTCTGGATCTATCCAAATTCCTTTAGGTCAGGGTTTTGTGCCATACCTCAATTCCCTGGCACATTCCTTACGCTTGGAAAAAGAGGAGAATTCCAGATAAATTAGGACATATTTCCCCTGACGAGAATTTTGGAAACAGAGAACTACAGTACATGTGACCGTGTGTGGTTTAGCAGTGAAAGGATGTACGCATGATTTCAACGTGTTAATTCCTGGCAGTTTTCTGTGAAGGAACCAGTCTGGTTTTGCAGAGTGATGATCATGTGATCATGGATGGTTATTTGATGCAGTCAGTGATTAAATGCATTGCGGTATTAAACATAAAAGCAAACTTAATTTCATTAGCTCTTTCTTGTTTTTTACTCGTTGCATTATGAATCACATTTAACTACTTAAGTTGTTTACATTTTAATCAACATTGCCATTATAAAGATCTGTTCTGGACCCAATAAGTTGTGTCAACCAGAACCTTCTTGTAATTCCCGGATTGCTTTGGTTCTACAGAATCTTGCTTGTATGTTTTTGTGTGTTCACATTACCTGCGAATATATGTGTCCTTTTCTGCCTGCCAACGTCAGCTGATTTTAGAGCTGCATCAGGAAAAGCATCACGACAGATTCTGCTTATTTGGGAAACGTGGGAATGTCGAGAAGATTCCGGCTGCCACTCTGTCCTGTTTTTCTTGGCCTCCTCATATGTTTTAGAAAAAAACATTTTGGGTGGGCAAAACCTGGGGATTTGCAAAGCCATCACCCCCACGGATTGCTGTGGAGCTACTGAAACAATATACAGGTGGGATTAACATCTCAGAGGCTGCGGATATGTAAGCCTGTTGAAATGAACCCGAGGATCTGTGATGTAAAATGTTTCTTCACATCTGATGATGGTATGAAAATCAAGCACGGAAAGGAAGCGGATTCAACTGCAGAGTCACTGAATACACGGCTGCTACTGGTAATAAATGAGAGGCCACCGGTGCACACAGACATCTAAAGAAGGGCAGACATTTCCTGACAGTTTGTAATATACGGACAGCACTTTAGCAGCATCGGTGAGTTATTATTCTAGCGATTATATGCAGGTCAGAAACAATTTGTCATGTCACAGCAGCAGGTTTGACCTCGACTATGCTACTTATCGCCTAAGGCGCACGGCCTTTTTACCCTTTCACGCTTTAATGCTTTGCCCTTAGTTGCCTTTGCTTCCCAGACCGGGATCTATGACATAACAGACGTGTTTCCGCCGGCTCACGGAGCAGGGCTGGGACAGGGTAGAGAAAGGCTGAGTTTTCAACCACACATAACATCGTAGGATTAAAGTCAGCAAGATGCCTCTCTTACAAGGAAAGCCCCGGGTTACCACAGATTTATGTTGTGGTCGCTGTTAAGGAGCAAATAGTTTACCACGTCCGATGATTATCACCCACAGGGAATTTATATTTTTGAGATTATGATCATGATTTTGAATGTGATCACGTTTATGTTGATATTTCCCCTTATTAAAATTGAGATTTATGTAACATCTGCCTTTTCAAACTTGGCTACAGAGGGCTTTTCAACCAAAATTGGGCAATTTAGTTGGTATTTAATTTTAAATCTTTAAGAAAAGACAAGAGACATTTTTGAAAGAGACAAACGAAAGATCCTCAAAAACACTCTCCCCTCTAAGATACCCGTGATGGAATTTGTTTTTTTGCCAAGGGGCCAAAAATATATGTGGTTACCCAAAATGATTAGCATAATTGGTATAGCTACTATACTGATTTTTAAACTGGTGACTGCCAAACCATAAACCCATTGCACAGACGCTTATGCCGCAAACTGGCCTCAAGATTGGTGCTTGTTGAGAGGTTGATCCCTGGTTGGTCCTTATTGGTTTGAACGATTGCCAAACAAAGTTCTGCTGCGGCTGGGTTTTAAACGGCAAGTGAATACAATTCTCCAAAGACTAAACTACTGTCTGCCGTAATGTTTTTTAACAGCGAATTATGAAATTACATTTGAAAAAGTACTTGATTTCATTCATATGCACGGTAGGAAGTCTGTAGTGAGTTTTGGCTCACTAACCTTTTTACAGACTACTGACTATGTGACTATGTGTAATTTACTATACTGTATTGACACATATAGCCAAACAGTATATCCAAATAAAATTGAACGCCCTGTACTCTAGCCTGTACTGATTAGTTGTGTCAGACTTTAAGATATGGTTTATTGTTTGATTAGTAGTGGGTGGCAAGAAAAGAAAAAAGGTTGAGCAACAGCATATTAAATTTTAATCTTTGCATTTATTTAGCTTTTCAAAGGAATCTGACTCAGGGTTCAGGTGAATGCGTTTAAAGCAATACATGTAAATGTTTTTATAAATTTCGCATATATCCAGCTGTTATGCTTCATTACTGAGAAAAAGGGAAGAATCCCTTACCCTGTACCCCAACCTTCCATGGCTTGATCCCATGAACGACAATCGAAGGATCCATGAAATTCGTTTAAGCCAAAGTATTGCAGACAGAAAAAATACATAAACAAATGAGACGGAGTCCTCGTTCTATAAATGTTGATGATCAGTCTTTATATTATTTTACTGGTGGATAAAATTTGTCTTTCGATTTCAGAAAACAATAAATGTGAAATCTTTTTAGGAACAAATATGAAAAGGTGTTGATTTGACTTATGTCACATTGACACTTTTGCCTGGATCGATTGAGTAAGCAATCCTCTTTATCTATATATTTGCAAACAGCTTTTACTACTTTGGACCTCAATTATGTTTTGCAATCCACTCACATGACCAAAACAAACAGTTTTCTGTCAACACTGACAATGTCATAAGCAAGTCGATATTTAGAAGTTGAAATAGCTTTGATTAAAAATGGATGATCTTGTGCAGGAGAGAAAAATCGTGTACGAAATGTACAATCAAGGGACTGATTTGGATGAGGTTTTGGCGCCACTAAGTGGTGATTCTGTAGTACGCTTGATGAGGGCTGAGTGATTAAATGGGTTTACTGTGTTTTTAAGACAGCGTGTTTATTTAAGACTAGATGCTTTAATAGTAGACTTTAGAATAAAATGACACCATCTTACATTGTTGTAAAAATGACAACATTGTTCATAGATCCTAACAACATGATCCTAACAAGAACTACATACCCTAAAATTGACATGTATACTCATAATTATAACTCAATCGAAGATATTTTCATTCTTTTGCAAGATACCTGTTGTTATTATTATTATCTAGTAATACATGCATTTAACACCGTTAGCATTGAAATAGTTTGACTATTTTTGTTTGTCTTTTTTTTGTTTGTTTCCCTCAGATATCTGTAATGCGTTAAGGCACAAAATGGACCATAATAAACAATTCTACGGGAAGCACAGCGGGACATCCGCTTCGTCCCTATTGTGACGTGGTTACCATAGCACCCGTTGTCAAACACTACTGTGACTAGCTAGCTAGCTTACCTGCCAATAATACTACGTTAGTTCATTGGCAATAGTCTGAACAGGTTTCACAGCGTGCGTGTTAAAGGTAAATAGTGTGTGACGGTACATTTTGTGGTCTTGTGGCCTTTTGTCCTGACAAGAAACAACGATCGCTAACGTTATCTGTGTAACGTTATCTGCGTAACGTTATCTGCGTAACGTTAGGTTAGGTAGGTTAATGTTGATTCAATTTGATTGTCTCATTAGCAAAGTTCCAACTAGCAACACAGGGCTACGTTAACCACCATAGGCTAATAAAGAGTAGTAGTTACAGGGTTGTGCGTAAAGTTATTTTGGCGTAAGTAATTAGGTAACATTAACGGTATTGAGGTTCGGCGCTAAGCTGCCACAGCTGTGCATCGTAAAGTACGGACAACTTGTTGGTGCTTTCTTCACCACTGCAGACTTCTGGGCACAAAGGTTCTCATGACTGCAGCAAAAGTGAGGAGTGGTGAGTATTGTTTTGTGGAAGGTTGCACATGAACAGCAGTAAAAACTAATACTGGTAACAGTTAAAATGACAATAAATGACAATGTCTCCACAGGGAGGGAAAGTGTTCGTGTGCGCTACAAATGTGGCCTACTCAACACTATACAGGATGTCCTGCGCCGAAGACAAGGTTGGGTGGAAGTCAAAGAGTGAGTAGTGGAGAGTTTCCATCATCATAGCTTTTTATTTGTCATATCCGTGGCTTGAATGTGGTATGGACTCTTGTTTCCCACAGAGAAGGAGAGTGGGACTTCAACTGGTGTGATGTTGGCTGGATCAGGGAGAATTTTGATCATTCATATATGGAGGAACACGTGAGGATAAACCACTTTCGCAACCACTTTGAGGTGAGGCAGCATCGATCCAGCGTACTCTAGATTGTTCAGAGGAGTGGAAAATAAGCATAAATGATTCATATCATCAAAAGTCAGGTTGACTCTTCTTTTGTGTTTCTATGTTTGATGTTACAGTTGACTCGCAAAAACCTCATGGTGAAGAACCTAAAGAGATACCGCAAAACTCTTGAAAGGGATGTTGGTCGCACGGAGGCCTCCAAATGTGATTTCTTCCCCTGTACCTTTGCACTGCCCAGTGAATATCATCTCTTTGTTGAGGAATTCAAAAGAAGCCCCGGTAGCACCTGGATCATGAAGCCGGTTAGCTAAAGCAGACTGCGCATGTGATTAAGTAAAATAAATTTATATTTGATTTAGTGTTTGTGTTAGCTTAGAAATGTAAACAGAGTTATCACTACTAAATCATGACAATTAACTGTTGGGGTATGCTTATTTAGGTCGCAAAATCGCAAGGAAAGGGCATTTTCCTGTTTAGGAAACTGAAGGACATCATGGATTGGAAAAAGGTAATGTGCAATAATTTCTTTGAGGAATTAAGTGTCAGTTAAATTTCTGAAAATGAATGTTGTACAGTACCAGTTAAAAGCGTTGACATACTTTCTCAGTCAGACTGTTTGCCTATAGATTCATAGCAACGTATTCAGTTCTGTACTATTGTGTTTACACAGGATGGAACCCGCTCAGAAGATCAGAAGGATGCAGCTCAAGTGGAAAGCTATGTCGCTCAACGCTACATCGAGAACCCTTACCTAATTAATGGTTGTCATAATCAGAAGGATTACATTTACCATGTATACAGGGATTTGATTTAGTATTACACCAAGAACATTAAAAGGGTTTGAATTTTGAAATTTATATAAAGATAATTCTAAGAATTAAATGCAGTTGTTTGACTAATAACATTCTATGTTATACTCCAATGAACTGAATGAAAAATACATTGTGATTCTAAATTGTATGTAATTAAACAACTACCAACTGTGCTAAAAAAATATTTACAGAAACATAAAAGTGAGCAAATGGAGTTAAATGAATATCCCTGGCTTATTTGTTTTGTTTTATGTCCTTGCAGGCAGGAAATTTGATCTGAGGGTCTATGTGCTGGTCACATCTGTATGTAGTGAACCTTGAAAACTACTTACTTACTTATTTTATTGTGAATACTGCACATTTTAGTGTTACATTGTGGGTGCATATGTTTTTTTGTTTTTAAGTATGTTCCCTTGAAGGCCTGGCTGTACCGAGATGGCTTTGGCCGCTTCTCAAGCACCCGCTTCTCCCTTAGCAGTATTGATGACAAGTGTATCCTTTTTTTATCATCATGAAAAATGTTGTCCATTAATTTAAATGTTGATGCACTGATCTGCTTTGGTTCTGAGACATACCTTCTCAAGGTGAACCATAATTTATTTTAAGGGGTCGTTTTAATTTGCCCCGTTGTGCGTTTTTAAGTCATTAAAGTATTCTACTTAGCGCATCTCTTTCAGATATGCACCTCACCAATGTGGCTGTTCAGAAAACAGCGCCTGACTACGATCCCGAAAAGGTGTGTAACATCTTAGTAAGACAAATGCAATTTGGATGCATATTTTAATCTGACAGTTTCCAGAATTTTCTCTCCTTTGACCACTTTATTCTGGCATTCCTATTTTTTTTTCCATCTCAAATTAGGGATGCAAGTGGCAGATGCAACCGCTTCGAAGATACCTGACCGCAAAACATGGCAGAGAAACAGTAGAATCTCTGTTTAAAGAGATGGATAACATCTTTGTCTGCAGTCTACAAAGTGTACAGAAGGTCATTATCAATGACAAACACTGCTTTGAGCTCTATGGCTACGACATTCTTCTGGATCAGAACCTCAAACCGTAAGTGCTTAACAAAGTGCATCAGCACCAACACGTATCCACCTGAACACATGCACTAAGACATGCATGCCCTCAACAAAGCCCTAACAAGCACATGCTCAGACAAGCAAAAGTGACACACGTCTGACTTTCCTCCGTTGGTAAACAAATAACGCAGTAAATCTTAGGTTTAATAAATACCAGTGTTTAAATAAGGTTAACTATAGCAATCTTCAAGTGCTCATGGATTGGCCTGATGCCGGCTGCAAGGAAATGTTCGACGAATGTCATCACCCTGCAGATGGTTGATTGAGGTCAACGCCTCCCCGTCCTACACACCAAGTAGTCAAGAGGATTATGAGATGAAGTGCCGCCTGCTGGAAGACACTCTGAATGTCGTTGATATGGAGGGAAGGTAAAGATCTCTTTGTCATCGTGTGTATGCCTTTGTGTCATCAGGAGACGAGACGCGAAGGCTCTCACCCTTCTTTCATTATAGTCATCGAAGTCTTTATTGATAGGCGCAAATCAATACAAATGGAATTGTTTTCTCGGGTTATGGTATTTTTAAAAATGAAAAACATGGTTGGAGACACACTAAAACAATAAGCAACACACTGAGGCTCGCCGCACAAGGTGAGTTATCTACAACAGGCGATGAGCTGCATTCTAATTAACTGTGTTTATTTTCTCATTAGGCTGACAGGCAAGGAGAAAAGGGTGGGTGGCTATGATCTCATGTGGAACGATGGGCCTGTCTTTAGGGAGGACGTCAACCTGGAAACCTTCGGCAGTTCATGTTTCACTGCCAACACGCACTTAGGTAACCTGACTGTGCAGCTTGTGCAAACCTTTTGAGTCAACAGTTTAAAAAAAATTGGATAAATTTGCAAAAGTATGTACGATTATTAACAAAGCATTTGATTGTGTGGAAAGGCGGTAATCGTGCTATTATTACATTAGAGCTGCAAACTTTTCCTTGTTGCAGGGTGCGTAAACGACCGGGAGAAACAGCTTCGCCGGCTTCTGAAACCATTTCCAGGACAGAAGAGAATGTAACACACGCATGTATTGTTTTTATGTCCATCCAACGTGGCTCTATGTTGTTTCTGTCAGAAGAGAAGCCCCACACAGATAACTGCAAATAATTCACGTTCTGTGATGGACTGTTGAATTTTGAATATGTAAATGTTTTTCATCAAAGAATGGCTAAACTTGTGATTCTTTCAACCCCAGAGTTTGCAAAGTTGCAAAAGAAAATTAATTTTAGGATTTTAGCAACGTGTCAGAAACAAGGACAGGTCCGCTGTGGGACATTCACACGTCCCTTAAAATGACTAGTGAATCAATGTCCCTTGAGTGCAAAACATTTATTTCTATGCCTTACAAACACTTGCATTCAACATTGAGAAAATACATACTACAATCTTTCTGCGTCCATGTCAACCCAAAGTACACAATGTGTGTATAATGCATCAATATCTCCCCTCCAGGCCCCTTATCTATGGCTTTAATAATGAGTAATGAGCTGCAATCTTGATATATTTCACATTTTTTACATTGATGTAGAGTTCCCATGGATCAAGTGCACAGGGTGAATCACAACAAACATAGGACACGCTAATGTAAACAGTTTTCTACAGACTTCAAGTATGCAGTGTGAAATGGACGTGATATGTACAACATCACCATGTTACAGCATAACAGCTATGATGTTTAGAAGTTCCATTAAATTACAGGGATGACCAATGCCGTAGACCCCAAGTTACATCCAGCTCTTGACTAAATATTGTCTTCTTTTGCATGACAATGTTAACGAAAATAATGGCAATGATAAATACAAGTCAACCACAACACTTTTCATAAATATAACTATGGTATATAAAATTTGGAAAAATATGCATTTACATTCGTAGCAAACATTACACCGTGTCCATTGATAGAAAGAGCTCAGCTCTATGCAAAATACAGTATCATATCATAGCCTACAATTCAAGCTGTTCAAACATGAAAAGCCCTTGTATCCAAACATTTTAAACAATTGCACAAGTCTGACAGTCAAATCACATCACTGCAGTACACCACCGCTCACTGTGCCTCCTTTTCAGCCAAAGATGCTTGAATTGAACATATATCTTAAAACATGATGCGCCAAAGGAATGATAAAATGTAACGTCAAGAAAAGTAAGAGCATTGAAAACGACTACATTCCAACATCACAAACCCCACTAGTAACGGCTATGGTCTTTAATTTAATGATCTGTGTTTAACTTTACTATAGATTGTTTGTGCTGGAAGCCGTCAAAAGGTACAGCAGAATCTTATTTTCTACCTATTTAGACATTAGTAGTATACTGGGAGATGATGATGATGATCATGATGTGCAGCAGGATTCAATTTACATAAAAGCTGGGATTTTCGTTTTACTAGCAGTGGTTTGGATCACATTGAGCCTTGTGTCCAAACACAATCCAATAATTGAATTGTATACTTATTGTGTATTTTGAAAGACATACAGTGTGTATAATTCGGTTTTCTATTCAAGCGTCATACTATGCCTTGAAAACATTGCCTGTTTTATCTCTAGCTGCATAGCGTCTTGTTGGCTGACAGTTACAACATGTTAGTATAATATATTAGACAGAAAGCAAGCTTAGCTTCAATTTCCTGCACCAAGTAACCTCTAGTTACAGTTTAACTGTTACTTCGCAACAAAGTGCACATTTTTAGTTTTGCCATTCTGCTTACTTATAGGCGGCGCTTTGTAGAGAGGCTGTGGCTCTTTAGCAGCTCTTTTCATGGCAGTTTTAGAGGCCTGGCCTACAGCGTCTATCCTCTGCCAGTCCTTCTCCACTCTCTTAGAGGTGATGACCTCTCTCTTACCTGCAGCAAAAACACGTTTCTCTGCAACAGCTGTTTTACTGACGCAGGGCTCTTTTTTAATATCGGTCTCCGAGTTAGCTCGGACGCGGCTTTTCCTGACCTGACCTCGGCTATTTGGGTTGGTGCCGGATTCCTGGGTTGGCTTGCGGGCGTTGCCTGAAGCCTGCATGTGTCTGAGATGACTTTTGCAAGCTGAGGGGCTGACTGGGGTCTGGGCTCCTCCTCCTCCTCCTCCTCCTCCTCCTCCTCCTCCTCCTCCTCCTCCTCCCCCGCCTTGTCCTCCACCCTGTCCCCCCGGGCTCCTAACTTCTGTCGAGGTCGCTCGGGTCTCGCTGCTGCTCCTCTTGGCTGCTGCTCCGGGTCTCGCTCCCCGCTCAAGCAAGGGACTGAGCCTGGAGTGCCGCTGGTAGGCATTGGCGGAGCAGCTTCCATTACACAACGGGTAGCGAATATGACAGTGAGGGCAAACCGGAAAGCGGGAATGCTGTTGCTGGGCTGACGCAGGTGACGGGGGGTTGTTGACGGGTGAAAACGGGAAGGCTCGCTGGCTGTGCCGCTGCCCTTTGGGGGAGTTGAGTCGGGATGGCGGTGCCGTGTGAGGCCTCGGTTGTTGGGCGGTGGTGGCGGAGGGGAAGCTCTGAGGCCTTGTGCGGCTGCCAGGCGGACGGCTGCTCTCTGCTTGCACCGTCTGGATCTGAAGCCACTCCAGCTGCAGCAGCCTCTCCAGGTACTTCTCCAAGTGCCCCACAGGCTTGGGCCGGGGGGCGCCGCGGCCCTCCGTGTGAAGGAACACCGCCAGCTGTCTCAGGCTCCAAGTGTTGAATGGAGGAGGAAGAAAGTCCGGGTAACTGTAGGCGGGCTTTTCGCTCACATCTTCATCCCCCACAGCCCCATGAGGTCCAGGGAAGTCCGGGGGGAAGTCGTTGGTGTTGATGACCTCGGCCCTGAGGTTGAGGTGGGGAGGGGTGCAGGGGGTGCAGGGGGAGGGCAGGACAGGCAGCCTCTCGGAATCCGACAGATCGCTGGCACTGTCTGTGTCTTCCTCCTTCTGGTGGTAGTGCCGCTGCAGCGCCTCCGGGGTGAGGCCGGGGGAGTGTGTTAGAGGGTAGGCTGGCATGTGTCGTAGCCCCGATATTGGGGACAGAGGCAGGGAGAGAGCTCGCCGACTTTTCCCCACCCCCCCGCGGTTCGGCAGGAGCTCGTTGCTGCACTGGGATACACGCTGACTTTCCTGATGCTCCTCTTTCCTGTGCGCAGATAAATGTTTGCGAACTCGAGGTCTTGAATCTCCTTCTTCAGGGCTGTAAAGAGAGACACACGTTTAAGGAAAAGCTAGTGGAGGGGGAGGGGGGGGGGGTCACTGTATTCCAAGTAAAGCGTCCAGTAAGAATACCAAACCCTCACCACACATACCTGGAGACTTTGCTTGTATTGCGTGTAGAGCCAGATTTGATTCTGCCACCTTTGGCCTGTGCACCCTGTAGAACATCCATCAAAGAAATTATATCATTATAAATTATGTAATTATATCAGCCTTGAATGTTATGATACATAGCACACTGCACATGCTGCAACACATGTGGTTCCTGGTAAAATGAAAATAACTGTTAACAAAGGAGTGTCTTTAATAATTCACCAGGATGCATTCACTCACCTTCTGCACTGTTGTCGCTGTGTCCTTATCCTGACTTGGTCCTGGGAGACCATTTTTCATCTGCCCCCCTGCTTTCTTCATCTTGTTACTTTTCTTTGAACTGTGAAAACATTACAGCGGTTTGTAAGGCTCCCCTCTATGTCTGAGTCATAACACAAGAGATTTCAATGTAGTCATATTCTGTTCACTATTAAGCTTAGGGAGGTCTCACCTGGTTACAGAACCGTTGTTTTCAGTACCTTTTACCCGGATCTTCTCTTTGGAGACGACGCGTTTCAGGGTCGTGGATGCTGTGCGCTCCTGCATGATGGGCCCCATGTTGCAGGTCGCCGCAGGAGATATTGTTCTGAGTCCAGCACAATAAAACGATACGGCGGCTAAAGAACCGAGCCGACATCTCGGATCATGTACTCTCTCCTGAGAATGAGGCTAAAAACACCCATTTTCTCAAAACTGGTGCAATGCATCATGCGTAGATGTCCAGTAGCGACAGTCGTTCTAGATTAAACTCGATTAAATCCCCCCTGTTATCGTCGACTCGGCTATCCGTCTGATTACGATTCACCGATTAGTTTTAAGAAATGAAATGCTGCTAACAGGTGTGTCTCTTTTTGAAATGTCATCCTCCTCGCCATTAAAAATGCAAGACGGTAAAACAGCGCATACGCTTCGTTTGTCTCTGCGTCCCAGCGAGATAACGTTAGGTTTGTTTACCTGGAGCTCACTGGCTGCGGCTGTGGAAGTGGCCACTCGCGGTGCATCATGGGACTTGGAGTCAAGTCACACCGGGCGCTCTTTCCAACGAACTACGCGCTCGCTCTTTGGCGAGCACTACACGCTGCGAATAATGGAGCGGTTAAGTGAATGAGAGGCCAACGCCACGTTTAAGGAGAAACGTTCAAAAAACAACGCTGACAAACGCGAGCGCTAATCTTGAAACACTCCATCTCCCACGCGACATGCGCGGTGTTTTGGACCTTTAGAAGCTTCCGGTTAACTGCGCGCACCTTCGCCGATCTCTATCGTTGTCGTGCCGCGGCCGTGCGTGAGTGTTGGAGAGATAAAGATGGTTACGCGTTACGTTACGTTTAGCTCAACCAGCTACAGATCTGGTAATGTGGCAGCGTGACGCCCAGAAACTCTTTAACTACGACTGCTTTAAATGAAGGATTTAGGATGCAACCAACGCCTTACATCTGCACACGGTGAGTAGATATCAGCATCGAATTGTAATGAAACATATTAAACGTAGTTGGAGAAATGCACAATTGTACTGAGAGAGAAAAGGGGTTGGATGCGTTTTTGCACGTACTCCACAGTACACGCCCACTCTGATTCCTGCCGTGACGTTTTCTGTCTTGTCATATTTACAACCACGAGATTGTTCCGTCGAATATGCACCAAAGCGTTATACGTTTGAGGTAAATCGATGTTACAACTGTGGTTATTATGCTTTAGATATGCATTATGTTGTGGACATGAAGGTGCCATTATTTGTGGCTTAATAATAATAAACACTGCTCCACAACTTTCTTTACAGGTAAGCCGGACACCAGTTCTCACAGAACATGGACAGAGGCTGGTTTATTGGACATGAGAGGATTCCCCCTCCAGAGGAGGAGCCGTCCAGCTGTTACAGCAGCGTCCCGAGGCGTTGCATTACTATCAACCTGACTGAAATGCTTCAAGCTGACAAACCCAGTCGAGCGAAGAAGCTGATTCCGATCCGCCCCCCTAGCCCCAGAGTGTCTTTGCAGGGGGAGAAAGGGTTCCATCGCGGTCTCTCCTGTGAACCCACGCCTAAACCCATCATCCGACAACGATCCCGCTCCCTGCCGTCCGCTACAGAGAAGAAGAAGCAATGCCGAAATGTGGGCGTACGCTTCGTGGATTCTTTGGGGCTTGACCTGGAAAACATAAAGCTTTTCAAATCTGGAGAGGATCCATTTGTACCACATCATGTTGCCTTTAAATTGTTGATGGGTGCAGAGTTGGCAGATGGAAGGCATCTGGAGATATCCTTGCCATATTTAAAGCCGGTTTTTGCCCAACAACCTGGCGACCAGCACGGATTCGTGCATCGCCTTTATGAGCAGAAAGTGTGTCTTGAAAGAGTCTTGTGTTTTGAACTGGGTGTCATCGGAATCACCCAAGTCCTCAATGTGGACTTCGAGAAAGACGTCGTAGCTCGCTATTCATTTACGGACTGGAAGAGCTGCACAGAAACTAAGGCCTCCTGGGTGTCCACCATCACCAAGAGCGGGGAGAGCGGAGAGGGCCAAGTCAGTTGTGATACATTTCGTTTCCACTTGCCTGTTCCTCCATTCCTGCATCCAGGAGCAGTGTTACAGTTTGCCATTCGGTACAGAGTCTGTGGCGCTGAATACTGGGATAACAATGATGGAGAGAATTATAAGTTAGTTTGCCATAACTACAAGCTCAGCGTTCCCAAAGAATGCGAGGACAGTATGGTGCACTTCATTTAGGATGCCGACTTACGGTAGATTCAATCTGTTTAGTTTGGTGGTCAGCAAGACCTAAATATGAACTGCATTGTGACATATACTGTTAGGTTTGTTAACTAAGAGAGGACTTCTTTGAATCAAGTCAAATTCAAGCTAAACGGTCAGACCTAGTAGTAAGGTATGGTGAACAATAACACAAACATTAATGCACTTCTACCTTATGCCCACTGGCACCACTATTTTACTTTTTTATTGTTAATGCAGTCTATAATTTTGTTTTCCTAGATTTAAAAATTGAAGTAAAAGCCCTTTAATATGGGACCCAATATTATTATTTTGTTTGATCGGTAGAACCATTTTGTATTTATCAGACAAAATTGTCAACTCATCATATCAAACTCATCAAAAAACCCTGTATTTAGAGTCTATTTTTTAATCAAATGTTGTCAAACCAAATGCCATAACCATGCAATACATGCAATTTTAATGAATCACTAATGTGCATTTTCTTTTCCAATAAAGCACTGTTCCAAATAATGTTAGGCTTGGTATTATTTGTGGCTGTGTAATTTATATTCTTATTAAATGCTGAAATATCCTGTTAGCCGCAAGCATGGGGTCATGGGGGGGTCACCCCTGTTTATAATGATGGGAAACACTGAACTGGCAGCGGTCGGTTACCAAAACATTGGCCAAATAACCAGTATTTTCAGGCTTCATGAGCAAATACAGAATCCCTTTGTGTTCATTTCCAAAGCCGCATTAAGACACACATCACTTTATTTAATACGCTGCACTACTTGCAAGTCGCTGTGTTGTGCCAGACTCTCAATAAAACACTTAGCACAAACCCACGGTCATGAAGATGCTCATCTAACGTTACATGGAATCTGCGTGAGGAAGAGGAGGAGGAGGGTCCGTGTCGCTAAATACCAACTTTATACCGACCACTTTTCGCACCCGGTGTCACTCCGATCGGGTGTCTGGATGCTAAACGTTCATACTTCTCAGCCAAACACGATCAAATGCACTCTGACCGGATAGCGCCATTTATCTGGATAGGTTTTTTTGTGTTTGTGTTTTTGAACTACGACAAGCCGGAAGTAACGAGACTGTTTTTAAAATGTAAGGAGTAGAAAGCACAGATATTTGTGTGAAAATGTGTAGGAGTAGACGTAAAACGTCGTCTGAAAAATAAATACCCAAAATGTCTACTTACAGTAACGACGTATTTGTACTTCGTTACTTGACACCTCGCATATATGCTATTAATTTAAGACTCGTTCCAAATGTACTGCTACTGCACGGGAGTAGTACAACGTTAGCTTTGCCCATTCCGCAGCTGGCAAAGTACTAGTTTATGTTTTTACCAAGCGATGGTTTGGGTTCAGACAATAGACCGTGAAGTCACCGTCCTCCTGCGCGAGGCCGCGCGCATGCGCATTGAAGGGAAGTACTGGTTCGCGCGTCTCGAGCGGAGTCGTGTAAAAAAGCCCCGTTTCTTGGCGGCATTTGACATCGCGGTAAGTGAATATACAAAAATAACAAACGATTATATCTATCCAGTGACCCCTGAACGGTAAAGTCGGAAATTTACGTTAGCGAGGAAGTGTTAGCTCGCCATTTAGCTTTCAAGAAGCAAACCATTGATCCTTAAACCACCCGTTAAGTTAGCTTGAGGTAGCATGAGTTTAACTTTAACATTAGCTCATTTCACATTTTGTGTACACTGATTGCCGTTTTATAACGTACACCAACGTTTTCTATTACGGGTTCACGTCAGTAGTAAATAGTGTTGAGATATAACGTTAATACAATCATTTAATCGTTAGCTTATCAGTGATTAACTATTGTTAGCTTAAAGTTAACGTTAGTAAAAAAGTCCGCTAACGTTTCAAAAATCCCCCCCCCCGACTTCCTGTCCTGATGTGTGCTCGCTATCTAACTAACGTTAGGTCAATGACTTCATTTAACCTCATGTGGCGTTAGATAGCAGATTGTTTGCCGTATAACGTTACATTTAACGTTAACATAGTTGACCTTTCACTACCTTTTCGAAGAGAGCAGAGGTCAAGCGGCGGTAAAACTGTTTCCCGACCGGAGAAATGGCCCCGAAGCACGACACTCAGGTGGGAATACGGACTATGAAAGGAACTATAAGCTCCTGTCATTCTACGTGGTCGTGCTTATTTGCTGTTGTAGAAGTGACGGAAAGTTAACCATGTTGAACTTTGCCCGTGCAGTTGGAGAAAGTCATCGATGAGGTGCTGAAGAGTAGGAATGTCCAAGCACTGGATGCGTTCCTGCAAAGGAACATGAATAAAGAGGCCCCCATAAAATGTTCCGGCCAGTTTCTCTCCAAATTGGATAAGCTTGTTTGCAGGGTAAGATTTATCCCAGTATACCCAATTTGCCACGTTGTCTAAATGTGTGGATTCATTTGAACCACGTATTTGTCGTTTGTATAGAGTTTGGATCAAAAGGATTCCAAGTCAGCCAGTTTGGGCCTTGCTATCCTTTGCAAATGTGGGAAATACATGAAAGTACCTGGTGGTTGTCAAGGGCTGTCAGGATTAATAGCTCAAGGCCTGCTGGAAAAGATAAGTACACACATAATACACACAAGCAAACAGTGTGTGAGACCTTCAGCACAGCAACATGCACTCAGTCAGTTGTTTATTAAACCTGGTTTTGTGCACATGGTACAGTGGTTTGAGAAATGCAGGCAACTGTGGATCCAGTGTGGCCCACAGTGGCATGAGGCATTGTACAATCTGTCTGAGGATTTCTTTGATGCCTTAATGGTGAGCTGATGTCCTACAGTAAAACACACCTTGTGTTATTCAACAATCGACCACGTCAGAGTCCACAATGTTACCTGTATTCTTACCTCTTGTTACAGGTCGTTCATGAAGCATGTAAAGAGGGTATGCTCGTGCATTTTCTTTTCCTTATTTGTCCTCAATATCGGTGGTTCATCTTCAGTTATCCCTTTTTTAGGACCATTTGTATTTCTAAATGATTAAGAACATTTCAGTCATCAAACACAGTTATTACATGTGTAGCAATAGTTTCTGGGGAAAGATAATTCATCATATCGGATGAGCGTATTAGGGCAGCATCAACTTTTCTGGGTTTTTTTGTTGCAGAAACAAGCAAAATAATAGAGTCCTTCCTGTATCCTGTTGGCAAACTGGCAGTGGACCCCAGAGTCTACATTCTCATCCAAAAAGAGGTTTGAAATGTTTTCAATGGAAAATTCTTTGGGGTTTGTATCACCAACTGAATTATTTTTTCATATATTAATTTACAACAATCTCCTCACAGGCAATTCGTAAATTTAACTCAATTCTGGACAAAATACCGGTAGAGCTTAAGAAGGAAAAAAAGATCCTAACATCACAGGAGGCCTCAGATATCATGTATGTCATGGAAGTTTCCTCATGATAGTATTATTCACTTTACCCCGCACACTCTCTTCAACTCTTGCTTGTTCTTTACCTTTCTACAGGATGAAATTAGCTAGTCAGATATTGAAGGGCGGTGGTAAGTATCTTTGTTCGAATAGTTCCATTGCACTTCACCCAGAACCATGAATGGACACAAGAATGTAAAACACCTTTTGTTTGTTTCAGATTACGACTTGCAGACAGCCCTGATTGAGGCACTGTGCAGAATGGCCACTGCAGACCAGAGGAAGGAGCTGGCGAATCGATGGTTCAGCATGGAGTATGTGGCCAGTGCCCTGGTCAAGATCCGCGATTCAGAGTTTGAAACGGTAAAAATGTGTAATTTTATTAAAGAGCATCACCGTTTCCTTTAATTAATTAACATTTATATTATTTTGCATGACAGCGGTAATTGTAATAACACCACAACAGGAGCTCGGCTACATAGAATGTAATACTAGTATGTGTGTGATTTCAGGATTGTCGCAAGTTTCTGAACTTGGTGAATGGGATGCAGGGAGACAAGAGGAGGTAAACAATAACACAAACATAGTGGCATGAAGAAACATTTAACAACATAATAATAACCAGAATAATTCATAATAAATGGCGAATCAAAGATTTTTTTCCAAAATAGAATCACACAACCTAAGCAAGATGTTTTTAATTAACAATTTAAAGAACAAATAAAGCCAAATCGGCCAATGATTTGAGGCAGGGCATGATCTTGCTTTTGTAAAGTATTGTCCAGTTTTCCTTAGGAGATGAGAAAGCACTGAAGTACCTTCCCTTTAGCATTTAGAGAATTAGTCCATCTCTGACCATGGCTGCTGCTTGGCTACTTCTAGGTCACTAGGAACCTTCCTAAACAAAGAAAGGTAAATTTGACTGCAGTTATGGATGGAGAAACCTGGGGGGGGGGCTAAATCTAGCTGGGTTATACTCCAAGTTATGCCTATTTTTCACGCTAATGTATCATGCTCCCATGTAAGCTTTTTTTGTAATTCTCTGCACATAATCACTATGTCCACTTTTCACTATAGAGTGTACTCCTATCCTTGTTTGGAGGTTTTTCTGGACAAGCATGAGGTCAGTATTAACACAATTTATATCTTAAAAGAAACTAAGTAAAACACAGATCTTGAGTATACCAGCACATTCAAAGTAATATATAGAGTACATAGAGTTGATCAAGAACACATAATCTGTTTGGCACAATTGTTTTTGTGTATTAGTAGATGTGTTAGAATGATTTTGGTTTTGCTGTCAGCTGCTGATGCCTGCTGATGAGAAGCTTGAAGAATTTTGGATTGACTTCAACCTTGAAAGCCACAGCATCTCCTTTTACTTCTCTTTGTCTGATGAAGAAGCACAAGTACGCCACACGCATTTGTGAAAGTGAAATCAAAGTTAAAGTGCAGCTACTACATAATCCACAGACTATGCATATCTGTCACATTTATAACATGGTTTCCTTTTTGTGTAGGAGGGCCAGTGGGAAACAATATGTATCAACGAGAATGAAGTCCAAAGCTACACGGTTACAGGTAATCGAAACAGGGAGCAGTTTTCCCTAACTGAATCCCACCCACGTGTTGCACATTATGAAGAATAAATAACATAAATATTGTCCTGTAATATTGTTAGGAAACATGCATAACAAAGAACACTAAAGGAAGACAACGTTCCTTTTTCAATTTACAACATATGGCAGGCTATGTCTGTTTTTTTTTATTTCCAGAGGCGGGCAAGAGGAAGGTTTTGCAGTTACTGTTGTCAGAGATGGTGGTTGTGGGTGAGGTAGAAGGATCGAGTCTTACCATCCACTTCAGCTCCTCGCTGGACATCCTGCAGGCTGCCCGTACAGTCTATGGACACCGCAAAAACAAAGTAGCTTGTTCCACTCTTAATGATCGCACAATGTTCAAAACTTTTTCTTCCAGTCGCACCAAAATATGAAGCGTCTTTTGTTTTGTTTAAAGAGCATTTCTTCCTGTCAGAACTTTGTGGGGAAGATGGGCACATCGGTAGTAAAGACTACAGTAAGAATTACAATGAAAGACGAGATCTCCCAGGTAAACAATGGCAGTTAAAATGTTTCATGACTAATGCAAAAATGTATTGCAGTAGGGGCAGGTTCTTATTTGGAAATGGGATTGGTTTATTGTTTTAGACAGGCTTGGATCAAGCAGTCAGGAGACAAGCCTGAAGTTATGTAACTGTGATATGGCTACAGACAGTTGAATGTTGTGCCCGGGGAACACATGAGCGTGACTGCATTTGTGCGTTCATGCTGCATGCCACTCTCCATGTAGGTCGTTCCAGAGAGTCAGATGTCCCCTGGTGAAAGTGAGACAGATACTGCCCCCTACATTTTACCCCCCCAGGCTGCAGCTGCTCAGGTGAAATAGTGTTGTGCTTTATATTAGTAATACAGGAAAATATTCTATTTGTGTTCTTACTCCAAATAAACTAAATGGACGATAATAGTTTTGTCAAATACAACACTCAAAAAGAAGAAGAAGTCTTTTTGGTAAGGCAACACCTTAAAAACAAACAGTTGAAGCCAGAAGGTGGCAGAAATTCCAATGGAATCAGCCATGTCGGGTTTAGGCTTTTTACTGGCCAATATTCTCACAACCAAGGATTGAAGTCACATACAATGTACAATTTCAATATTTCCATTTTGCTATTACCTCCATTTGGCATGGGACTATACATTTTTGTTTTAGTTGTCATTTTAGTTCCATATGTTTGAATTGACCATCCATACTGGACACAAATAATTCACAGACACATTCTGATTTTCCATCCAGATGGTGACCCCCTGCAAGAGGAGACTTTCAGAGTCTACCACCTTCATCAGCAGCAGTGCAGGAGAAAGAGTGCATGGTGCCGGTTCCTTCTCTGCTGTTGCGCCCTCAAGTGGGTGTCAACGAAAATTGTCCAGAACTGCTGACACACCAGTTGAAATTTGTGAAACAATTCATAATGCATTCAAAACAGTCATAAAAGTTAAGCTTCTCTGAACTAGAGTCCGTCATCAATCAATAAATCAATCAATTTGTTGGTGCCGTATTTTATATTGCTTATTTACTTTTATTTATGTATTTATCTCTAATTAATATGGGTTTTACAGTCCAATATGCAATCAATCGTTTTACAATGAATTTGCTTCACAAACCTATTTTGCGGGATGTTTCTTATTTCAGGTCATACTAAAATTGTGCATAACAAGGCCTGATAAGCAGTGTACTGTGAACCTTTGTTTACCATTTATAATGTCATAATTATGCCTTGTAGTTGGAAAGGAAATTATTAGAATAGATCATAATAGGTCACACTTAGTCAGACAAATAGCGATATATTAAACTAAACAAATGTATTCATTCTCTTTTTTATTGTGAGAAATTATAGAAAGTGTCAAATAAGATCATATTACGACTTCTGAATTATGAACTATTTTCTTCTTCTTTGCCTTCTAGAACCGTCTGCCAAGGGTAAAGGGAAGCCATCTCTGGAGATGGTTCGTCCATGTTATAGGCAAGATGAATTGCACCTGGGAGAGCAAAGGACAACTGCTGCTAAGACCTGCAGTAATGGCACGTCTAACAGCACAATAGCAGGCGGCATGTCCGAGCAGGTATGAGATATGTTGAACTCTGCAAGTCCAGAATGTGACATTACAGTATTCTAACTGCGATTTGTGCCTCAGAATGCTTCGTCTCTACGGAGCATGGCTTCCAAACAGTCCAGTACGAACAAGGTTGGCAAACACAAAAAGGTATAGCCCCCAAATTAATATTTTTCTAATAACGTTGTTTTGTGTTGTCTATTTTTGCATTTTATTTTGTGGATATGTATGAGAGTATGATGTGATTGAACTATGAACACAACAACATTGCTTTAAATCATTTGGGGTAGTTACCATCAGTAACTATTAGAATTAAATTGGAGGGCTTTGGATAATGTCTGAAGATGCCCTCCAGATGGAGTTTCTCTTCCAGCCTTTGGTGCAAAAGATATCATTGTATTTGTTTTCCCTGCTTTTTCTGCAGAACAACCCATTGGCAGAAGTGGCAGATATGGTTCTCTCTGGATGTGGAGAAGAGCAGTCTCTGGGTATTCTAGATGCTACAGTGACTTTCGTTTAGCCAGGAAACGTAGCTGCATTTTTATTCCTCAGAAAATATTGAACCCTTTGCTGATCTTTTTTTCATTCAGAGTGTAGCGTTGTCCCCGACACACAACCCAGACATGAAATAAGCATGTAAGGACCTCCATACTGTGTGCATCTACTGCCATTGGATTGATTGTTTTAAACAGTGTGTGTATAACTTAACATGTTTTTGTTGAAATTGCAGAAATGTGAGAAAATGTTCAGTTACTGAAATGATCACACAGAAAATCAATTCTCTGCCAAGACCCGGTAAGCAATGAAGTCATGAAACATTAAACCGTCTGACCAAATCATTTTCATTTTAAAAGCTACGAACTCACATAAAACCTTGCTTTTAAAAAAATAGTGTCCTCACTTCTGTATATCTTATTTTAATTGACTGTAGCGCATCGTTCCAGTTTTGAACAACAGCAGGACGCCCCGTCATCAGCACAGCGAGTGTTACCTTCAGGCTCAAGCCCAAGCAGCCACAAGCAACTCCATGCCGAACTCACCCAGCGCCTGCAGAAGGTCATCAGTGAGAGGAAAGGCAATCCGGCGCCACAGGAGCAGTTTGCACCCCGGAGAAAAAAATCGATTGATATCAGAGGGGACTCTGAAGGCGGAGGCTCTGCCGTTCAGGTTCGGTGCGCTGCCGGACTTTTTACCCCCAAAGAGCAGCAGACCCAGAAACGTGGCCGTGCCAAAGGGAGGAGCAAACGCCCCAAGTCACCGGAGGCAGATGCTGCCGTGATGAAAGATCCGGCCAAGACCTCCGCGTCTAAAGCTCGGAGGAAGAAAGTTCCACCCACTGTTACTGTTGGGCCTGATGCTGTCCTATCAAACAGAGAGACGGTATGAATTCAGAAGGCACAAACACACTGAAAAGTCTATACGACTTATTTATTTAAGATGAACAGCAGTTGAAGTGAATGTGAAAAGTCGCATCACGGTATGGATAACGGATCAAAGCCTCCAGTCAACTTGTGGTTGTACAGTGGCGTTAAAGCTTCTCTTTGTGAACATCCTAACTAAGCACAGATGCCGTTTAGCAGTGACCCAAAGCTTCAGGATAAGCACTTAGGGCGCAGGGTCCTCTTTTGACGATCTGAAATTTTAAGAACATTAGATTTGATTTGTCCCGACACTTAACTCCGTCATGCTTGAACAACATTTGAAAAAATGTTTACTTACAAACGCTTTCAGTGTGTTCAGTCGATCCTTTGGCTGATGGTGATGTATATAATGATTCTCATACCCACTGTCTATTCAGAGAGAGGCAGAGGTTGCAGGCGGCCTGGTGAAGCTCAGCTCTAGTCATTATGAGGTCAGCACCCAATCCACAACTAAAGACACTGCAGGAAAGATCCCTAAGAGCTGGATTCCTCCTATCGTCAACAGGTACACCGATCGATGCCTGTAGGGCCACGTTGTGTTGTGGTAAATTATCAAATGTCATCGCTAACATGAGTGTATCACTTAGTGACTGTTTTTATTACAGGCCTATCTTCAACATGAGCTGGTTGTCAACTGTTAAAGTAAGTGATCACTACTTTGTATATATTGAGGAGTAATGCCTGATGAACTAAACATGATTAATCTGCTATAGAAAGATGGGTCAAGAGCTGTAAGCCTAATGAAATCATACAGCAAAACCACGGCTAACTACACCCAACAGAGGTATTACTATTCAGCTCAAATATTTGGATCTTCAGTGACTTTTAAGTGTCATTAATGCTTGAGTTTTTTGTACAGAAAAGATATTTTTGCATTCAACATTGATGCACCGTGTGCCACGGTAAGCAATACTTAATCATATTCATTTGATACTTTGTCAGCTGGTTGTATTGAACTTACTTGGTATGCCACTGCAGGGTGTGATGTCTGTTTTATTGCTCTTAGGGAGAGAACAAAACGTTCCCTAACACGTCTTCAGCCTGCAGCAGGTAGGTCTGACAGTTGGGAAATCCGTAACCGTTATATGATTTTATTTTATATTAAATCATCAGTCTAATTTCCCATTCCCTACATTGTTTGACAGTGGCATCCGTGACTCAACAGCATTCCCAAGCGCAGCCAAGAAAGCACAACCTGTGGCAAAAGTATACATTTTTGTATTCCAGGGTTTTATTATAGGTATTCAAAGGTGCAACTGGTAGAGACACTGTTTGTGTATTTTTTTCTTTTGTAGACATGCGGGTGTGCACACTTACTGCACTTTCCAAATTATATATTATACATATATAGAATATACAGCTACTATCGGGGTAATTATTATGCAGCAAGCACCAAATTGAAATACATCCGGTGCCGGCCAATAAATCATCTTACTCCATGCGTCTCTCTTTCTCAATCCACATCCCTGTCTTCCACCACCTTGCCTTCTGTGTTACAGGAGAAGCGGTACGTGAAAAAGCATCTCTTCAGTGACATGGACTATAGCACCACAGATGTCAGCTGGCTGAAGGAATCGTGCAGGAAACCCAAACCTAAAGTTATCAAATACTCCAGACAGGCGCCTGACAAGCCTAGACCACTGTCGCTTCATACTTCGTGTAGGCCACTGAATTCTCACAAGCATGCTGCTCACAATCTGGAATTCCTTTCCTTCACAGCTGGGTGCAGTTATTTCAAAACTAAATGCAAAGCTCTTTCCATCTATACAGATGAATCCCCAGATCAACCCCCAGCCTCTCGAAAACCTGTAAAGGGCAATACCAAACTCAGCAAGGTGCAGAAGTACTCCTTTTAGATGCTGTCCTTCAAGTGTGTAAGTATGCAATATTCCAGTCAGCCACAGTGTGTCACTGTTTAATCAGAAGAGACCAGACGAGAAGGTGAGAGCGGAGCAGCCAAACCAGGCGGTGAAGGCAGCACCAGATAGACCGCATGCTGCAGCCAGAAGGCCCCAGAGAGCTGCAGCCATCTTTACCAAGAGCTACATGGAGCCGGAAACTGATGACAGCCTATCAGAGTTCGAGCATCCTGCTGTTTCCAAGACAGATCTCCCTGTACTTTCAAATCAAGTATAATTATTTATTCTCTTTTGAAAGCAAATTATCTAGTTATTTTTCAAATTGTGAAAGCACCTTCCTAAGAGAAAAGGTTTGTCTTCAGTTGTACTATAGTGCTGTTGCTAGTAGACTAAAATCATTGTGTCTCTGTTTGCATTTTAACAGCACACCTCCGCTCATTTGAAGAATGCTGAGAGAACAAACAAGGCTGCTCCAGTGACAAAGAAAAAGGCTGCCAGCAAACAACAGACCGAAAGCTGCATACCAGAGAGCAACCATCGTAGCAGCAAGTCTATGTTTGGACAGCCACCCACTTCCACGGTAGAGGTCATTGTCATATCTCGTGTTATAGTGATCAAGTGTTGTATTTTCTGCATGCCACAAAGCATGTGTGAGTCCGAATATAGCTAATAATGAGTCTAGTTTGTGGCCATGTATAGGGTAGCATGTATCAAAAACAACTACATTACAGCTTAATTTAAACTCCCCAAATGGATGCAGTTGTTTTAGTCTCATTAGAACTTCTAGATGGAAAATAACAAGGTGGAAATCCAATTGTCTTTTGGCACACAGTGACCAACATAAAGTTCAGCCAGGTGTAACTTCTCAGCTGTGAAGCTTGTTGACAATCAACCTCTACGGAGCTCTGGAGAATGTGTAACTCATTTTAACATCATGGCTGTAACAATAAATACTTTATGTACTTATGTACTTTATGTACTCGCCAGCAGGCGACGACTGAAAAGACCCTTTTAGAGGTTCCAGAGGTACAGAGGAGAAAAAACACCTCAGCTGAGCGATCCAGAGGTGCATGCAGGAGATCTGACAGCAACAACCAGTCAGATGTGAAGAAGCCATTGGGTCTGAAGGTGGGAGTCCAGCACTTTATTAAGGTCATTGCAGCCTATGTGTGAAATAAGGACAGGTTTTTAGTTAATTTCAGAAGAAATATATTAAAAAATATATGGAAAATAGATAACATACACTAGTATATCTAGTTTTAAAACAATGCAAAAGTACTGGTGAGTGCAAATATTATAGAAATATTGTAAACATTGTAAACAATATTGTAAACATCATAAAGATTTTTCAGTCAAATGTATAATTATCCATATATAGAATACCAAAAGGGGAAGAAGAAATATATATTTATTAGTTTTTTCTATAAAGTCGGGAAGGATTCGTGGTTTTCAACGTGATTTTTTTACATTCTGAACCGAAACGCTTTTCTTTTCAGAAGCAGAGGCGTGAGAATGTACTTTCAGAAACTTCCAAGTTAAAGAAGAAAAAGGTTGTCCCTGCCCAAGGACAAATGAACAGATTGAAGGATTCCTTGGCCGCCCGTCAGATCTTCTTCAGTCCTTCCCCTCCTTTGATCGAGAGGATGAGATGTAAGACTGTCGGAATTACACAACAGTCATTTCTTTCACTTAATGTCTGTTACATGTTTCATACTGGCTCTAATGGTTGTAAATGATTTTATTGCACAAACATGTTTGGCTTTCACTTAGTGTGACGTCATTTCATTTACTCAAAAGTAAGTGAAGGCATCAGCCATCCGAAATAATTCACGTTTCAAGCCCACCTTTAGGTTTTGTAGTTGAGTCCTGTTCAAAGGTGAGTATGAAGTTTTGGATTAGTTAGATGGATACATTTACAAAATAATATATTTCCCATAAAACCCGAATTGCTGCACCTATTTTATGTGAAGCATTTACTTGCAAAACATTGTGCTTTTCTTTGTATTGTTACGCTAGATAGATTTTCACTCACTTTTATCCAGAGCGTTTTGAAACAGTCACATAATTGACACTATTGCTCTCCAAATTCTCAACTGTAGATATTTAGAAAAGCATGTATGTATTGACCTTCTACTCCCTCTCCAACTTCTGAGAGCAGCTGCCTGAACATCTGTGCTTATTTTGGACCCTCGCAGCTGCTGAGGGGTCAGCCCCAACCCTGGGTTTTACCTCCTCCCCTCTCCTCACCCCGCGGGGATCCCCGCTCCCCGCCTCCCCTGACCCGCTCCACGAGAGCACCCCCTCACCCATCCTGCTGCTACCTAGACCTCGCTCTACAGTCAGCAGTGAAGGAACCACCAGGCCCTCCTCTTTCCACAGCGCGAGTGGAGCAAAGCGCAGCTCATCCAAGGCTCGATCCAACCAGTTTTCACCCCCTCTCCCCTCACTGACCCCAATCGCTCCAACCGCTACACCTGCTGCTCCCACTGGGCCTAGTGCGGCAGAGGTAAAGCTGCGCTTTTCTGACTCCTAATGTTGGTGTCAATTGCTATTCCGTGTTAAAGGTTACATTCACATTTGAAATGTTTTTACTACCACGTGCTACCTAGCCGAGAAAATGTTGTATTACTCCGTGGTAGTAATTGCAGTGGGCATTAGGCAGTCACATCTGGGTGCCCTTATTTTAAAGCTAGTTGAATACATCAGTCCTAATGAGTGGTGTGAGTTCATTGATATTTTACGTCTTAAAGTGATTCACACACCTTTGCACCACATGGCGGCCATCGAGGTCACGAAACAACCAGGTGAGTATCACTGGAGAAGTGAATGGAGTGAATTATTATGTAACTGGGCTTTCAAACTAAGCTAAGCATTGCTTGCTAAAAGGGCCAGAAAATATGGTTAGGAAAAGTAAAAGAGTAAAGCTTCCCTCCGTACACATTTCTGAGCTTTGAAGTTTAGACACAATCAACAGCTGCTTAACAGTGCTTAGGAGTTTCACAGGAAGATTGAGGATACTGTAGTTTGGACCCTAACTTTCCAGGATAGATACACAACGTAATGAATGACAATCCGATTGATTAAAATGACCTATTTCACTCAAATGAGAGCAGATAATAGCTGCAGCACTCAATCTGTGCCTCTTACTGCGCCGTTGAAAATGTTCTTCTCATTTAGCTGTGGTTAATCCATTACAGAAACGGTGATTACTTAACCATCAAATGAGGGGGCATATTTATTTTGTCCATCTCACATTCTGCCCCTCTCCGTTCCTTCATTTGTTTCCAGATGAATCCGAGCGAGCGGTGTCTTTCCTCGTCACCTTGCTCTCCTGTTTCTCGGTGCGCTCGGCCCCTGTTGACATCCACGCTTCTCGAGCAGGACAAGCCGTCCATGCCGTCCATACCGTCGCCTCCTCCGTCCCCTGAAGATTCCGTCAACCACGGGAGCTTTTATGGCTTCAGCAAAGTGTCTCCAGTATCTTGGGTTTCGTCCTCTCAGTCTTCAGTGCGTACTAGTAGGGTTAAGACCAGTCCCACTACCAGCCTCGCTGGGCCTTGTAAAAGAGAGGTAGGGCCCGGACACACTTCATGTTTTGTGATTGATTGGTTAGAATTGGATGGATAGGGAAGTGATGGATAAGAGAAATGAAAGACCACCAATGAAAAAAAGTAATTAATTTCTTGTTTTTCAAAAGGTGTAGCCAACGAAACAAACGACTAATGCATTTCTGCCCATCGTTGCAGAAAACGCCGCCTTCAGACCGGAGCCGCAAGTCTGAGCAGCTCCGCTCAGGTAAAAGGCGTGTGTACAGTGGATCTCCGACTTGCTACACAGTCTATCCTCAAATCTCGCTCCCTTTTACACCAAAACAAGGTTGCAGATCAGTATAAGATTACAAAATGTATAAGTAATTCAATTAATTTAACTTGTCTTAAATGGGCCTCCATGGTCAAATCCCCGATCTGCTTTAGAGGAACGCCCCCCATGTTGAATGGTTGGAAATGGGTCATGTGTCATGGCTGTTGGTTCTTGTTACAGGACCCAGTCGCAAGCGCCACGTCTCCACGTCCAGTAACTCCGAGGACGATGAAAAGAGAAGGACGAAGAAAAGCAGGATGCGAGAGCAGCGCTCTCCTCGAATGAAACCGAGGAAGTTGTTCAAGTCCTGTAAGACACATTACTTACATTCTTTCTCAACATGAGGAATGTGTGCGTCATTTCGTAAACCAACTATACTATTTTTGTGAGACTTAACACAATAGAGAGTCCGGTACTTTTCATTGATTTGCCTCTAATTTTGGAATGCTTCCAACACAAAGTACGAGAAATCTCCTCATTGTTTCAGCAACAATGTACGGGTCAAGCCCAGGACTGGGGAGAGACAAGTAGTTTAGATGAAGATGAAAGCAGGCCAAAGGATATAACTTTCAAAGTTACTAAAGAAAGAATAGGTCAGAATATCAAGAATAAGGCACATTGCACAGGTACCCTTTCCACCGACTATGCATCACACTGGAACACATCTTAAGATTAGACTGTTATTCTAAAAATTAAAAAGGATACGTTGTCTTGGAATCAAAGTTAAAGTGATGGTTACACGTGGGATACATTGATTATATACTAAAAAATACAACTTTATACCAAAAGGAAAAAACACTATTTACAAACGGTATAACTTAAATAATAATATCTATTTGTTTAGATAGGATTATCTTCTCTAACACATCAGTGGGTCTTCCTGTCGTCCTTGGTCTCTGAAGGCGAGGTGAGCCGTGTGACGTCTGCTTCCCGACCGACGAGCTCCAGTCACTGGGATGCCGAAGTGGTCAAGGGAGAAATGGACATTGAGGAGGATTCTGAGTTCGCCAACATATCTTTATTCCGGAATAACATGTGCAAGCAGTTGAAGAAGAAGTTCCAGGTTTGATTATGGAGACCCGCTTCTTCAGAAGGAATTTCTTACAATTCAAAAGAGTTTTGTTCCTTAATAGATCCTCAGCACTTTGTATCTCCTGTCATATTTATATTCCAGAGCCACTTAAGTGTTGTTAAAATAATGGCCCAAGTCAACCGTTATCTGCTACATTTGTTTGTATTCAGCTCCATAAAGATATGGTGGAAGTTTACAACAAGCAGTCCTTGAAGACCTTCCAACAATATGTCTCCTCCCTCAACATGCAAGTTACCAATTACAGGTCAGTTAGTGTTGTAAGTGCTTCCATCCACTAGTCATGTGAGCTGGAACATTAATAAATACATTTGCACATTTGATGTTTCTTTTTACCTACAAAATATGGTCTTATGTAACCTTGACCACATTTCCAATAGATTCCTGCCTCACTGACAAATAGGAACAACATGTTCTGAAAAGTGACTTTCAAACAGGCATGAAAATGAAACCATCGATGAAAACCAAAATAGGTGACCTACGTGAATCGTGTAGATTCGATGAGGGTTTTTTGGGGGGGGGGGTGTATTCATATTGAGTGATCTGCGAACAGGTGTGCGTGCTAGAAGGGAGCGCGAGATTCAGTGAATTGCGAACAGGGTTGAGTGAGGTTTTCAATAATTTTGATAAGTTAAGTTAGCCAGCAGCTTTACATAGACTTAGCTAACGTTAGCTACAGCTTGATGAATTGAGTCATTTAACACAGCAGGAGAGAACGCGACGTTGGCCAGCTAGCTAAAGCTCCGGTGGAATATTATTAGCTAACGCTACCGTTTTTGAGGAGGTAGATTTTGAGGTGAGGGGACTGACAAGGCAGAAGGTAAAGTGGTCCACCGTTCTATCAATACGCAGACCTGCCAACCTGATACGCATTTTGACTTCAAAGTACGCTGGTACGATTTGTCACTCTAAGCTACGCAAATATTTGTCTAAAATTAATTTTAGACTAGTTGACCAGCACACATTATATTCAATTCAATTAATTTTATTTAGTATAGCCCAAAATCGCAAATTACAAATTTGCCTCAGAGGGTTTTACAGTCTGTACACATACGACATTCTCTGTCCCGAAACCCACCATCGGCAAAGGAAAAACTCCCCAAAAAATGAAAAAAATTATTATAAAAAGACATTATATGCAATGCAATATAATGCATGATGAGTATTTAATGACTTGTCCCCTATTAGCTGTTGTCAATTCCCATCCCCCCCCTCGTCGGTAGGCAAAAAATGATCCCTGGGACAAAACCAGTTGAAAACCCCTGCCCTAGAGGGGTAATATACTCACCTTTTTCACCTTTGACCTGTTTTCATGCCTGTTCTAAACTGTCACCAGGTGATCGTTTTTGTTTACTAAAGGAGATTAAATACCATGGCTGACTATTTTGATTACTTGTGAAATCTTCTTTGGATTTGATTGTTTCCTCTACTATTTATTAAAGTTTGCATTGTACTTTTACCTGTCTTATATTTTAGATTCCCACTTAAATTTAATTCCACCTTTTTACAGGACTCAAAGGCTGGATAAGGTTCAGAAGGTCCTCTTGGAAGCGATCCATAGTCTGGAGCAGGATGACGCTGTGCTCGATGGCATGGAGAAAGACCTGACTGTATGTCACTCAACCTCTCACAACCACTTACTCTCTCTCACACTCTCACTGGGGAGAATGTGTAAAGTTTCCCTTGTCAACGGGGCCTTAACAGCTTCACAGCTCTCCTCCCTGGGACCTCGCCGCTTCCCCGGGTCATGAAGTCGGCCTTTGCCGGGAGTGTTCCTGAGTTTCCTCGGGCAACAGGCCGGATCCGTTTTGTTTACCGTGCCTCGTCATTGGGACTTTTTTTGCCGTGTCCTTGCCGATCATAATTATACAACCAATGTTTTTATCATTAAATTGACTAGATGGCAGTGTAAATTAAACCCACAATGAGTAATGAGTAATATATATATATAATTTCAAACAATTTATTTACGGTAGGCCTTAATCGGATTACTGGCTTATAACCAGGTTGGCATTAGTACTATAATTGTACCACTATCTCAAAATAAATGATTATGGGAATTACTTCAGTAGTTTAAATATACTTTGTGACATTCCACCTCTGCTAGATCATGAGCATACATTGTTTATAAGAGCACAACGTTTCTGCTGAATCTCTGCTCCAGAATAATACATTAAAACGTTAAAATGCACACGATTCTCTCCCGGGTGACGATGCCCCTGTAACCACCGAGGGAGTCCACAATACGTCCCACGGGAAACACTGTCCGCATGCAGTGTTTAGTTTAATGAAGGGTTCCGCTACGTATGATGCTTTCTTAATGTTGATTCAACTACTTCTTGATCAGTGGGTCTCTTTTCTACCAGATGTTCTGGAAAAAGCAGGCCGTGACTTTCCATTCCTACCTGAAGCAGGACACCAAGAGGTGAAATTTATGCCTGTGTGTGTGTGTGTGTTTCCTTGCCATTCACTGAACGGTTGAATAACGAGAATTCAAGAGCTTCGAAAATAAATTGTCACGCTTATCCTCAAACACTAAATGTGTATTATGTAGCTACTTTTTAGTGTTTTTAAGTCTTGATCGGATCGATTCCTCAACGTAACAAAGGCTTTCTTAACCAGACTTTGTTGAACGGAACAAAAAATAAATATTTTTCCACACCAAATGCAGGGTTTAATAGTGCATTTAGTGTTTATCAGTGCCATTTACCCCCCTCGTATTTACATTGTTCCTTTACCATGAGCTGTGTGTTGCATTCCTTCCAGAAACGAGGCCTTGAAGAACACCCTCCAGAGTAACATGTGTCACAATGTGGATGAGCAGGAAATATTCACATCCCAGGTGAGATGCAGCTTACATCTGACATGTGCTTCATTTTCGTTGGGTTTCTAAATTGCTCATGAATTTGTGAAAGAATAAGTTAAACTAGAAAATGCATTTCCTGCTGAAAATGCGTTCGAATGCAAGATGCTGAAAGCTGAAATGAATTTTTAAAAATAGCTGAAATTACAGATAGTTGAAGGGAATTTGAATACATTTGCTGAAATTACAGATATTAGAAAAGCTGAAATTAATTTGAAATTGCTGAAAATACAGAATTGGGAGAAGCTGAAAGGAATTTCAATAGATTTGCTGAAAAAGCAGAACTTAAAACAGCTGAAATAAATGTGAACTATTGCAAAAGAAAATACAGAAATGAATATTAGAAACATTGCTGTTAATACAGGCATAAGAAAAGCTGAAATTATTTTAAAGGACTGCTGAAAATACAGGAAGTGGGGAAGCTGTCTTTCAATAGATTTTCTAAAAAATACAGTTGCAGTAAAGAGCTTAAATGAATTTAAAAAAGTACAGAAATAACAAAAGCTGAGATGAATATAAAGAGGTTTAAAATTGTTTGTAGTAATAGTAGTAGTATTAGTTATAGTTGTAATTATGGTATTAGTATTACTAGCTGTAGAAGTAGGTTTAGTATCAATAGCAGTAGATAGCTGTTATACTAATACTATTAGCCATAGTAGCATTTGTAATAGCATTAGCAGTAGTTGTAGTATTAATAGCAGTAGAAATACTATTAGTATGGTAGTAGAAGTATCAGTTGTAGTACTAGTAATATTCATAGTGGTTGTAGTAGTATTTGAAAGACCAATACGTATTTCAACGAAACCGCTTCATTCTGAGCTTCATGGTTAAGGTACAGATAATCATTGAGGCTTTTATTTTAAAATGATGGAATTGGGTGAGGGGGGGTTGGGAGACAGAATGTTTGTTATTCAAACTAAGAAGTTTTTAATTAATAGGCCTCATCACAAACATTACAGTAAAAATTCCCTCCATGGGGCTTTTGTTTTGAAATTATTGAATTGGGTGGGGTGGGGGGGTGTAGATAGAGGGAGGGAGGGTGAGGAAGGGAGGGGTGGTGAGGGGGAGAGAGAGGAGAAAAAATAGACAGACTGACTGTCTATGATTAAGAGTGAGTAGAGGTGAAACTCAGAACAACAACAAAACACAGCGTGGAGGAGACGACTGCGAGCAAGACATTTACAAACCAACTTATCGATCCAGCGCGTGGAAACATTTTGGCTTTTGCAAACACGGAGGTGTTCTAAATAAGTCGGTCGCTGTTTGTAGAATATGTAGAAGCCAAATAAAAAAACACGGAAACACGACAAATCTTTCAAGCCATCTACTAAGGTGCCGTGGGATTAAACAACGGCGACAGTCAGGACCTCTAGCAGCGTCACCGCTGCAGCAGCAGCAGGTAACTCCAGCTCTGCAGACACCTCAGGCCTCGCCAGCACCAAACTCAACATCACAGCAACAATTGCCAAGTTTATCTGTAAAGAGATGCGACCCTACAATGTGGTTGAAAATCCGGGGTTCTGTAAACAATGTTTACATTGAAAATGGCACTTGATGCAAATAAAAGGTTAATACATTTGCCATTAATTGTTGTTTGCTTGTTTATAATAGCCATAATTAATTTAAACCTGATTTCCTTACAAGAAACAACAGGGATCTCAGAAACTTTGCCTGCACTGCCCAGTAAAGTTACTGAATCGATTTCAAGTCACTGAATCGAATCGAATCGTTCTAAATTAACCCAAATCGTCCATGAATCTAATCGTTAACCATGAATCGCGATTCGAATCGAATCGTTGTTAAAATTAATCGTTTCACCCCTAATATTAATTCAAGCTTAAGAGGTAGAAAGCTGAAAGGTCATAGCTGGAAAGCCGGAAAGGAGCTGAATATTTTAATATTTGAATGGTTTTAATAGCTGAAAGTGTAAAGGAGTTGAAAGGTGCCACGGAGGAAATAGAATAAGTTGAACTAAAGATTCGAAGAACAATACTTGGAATGGCGCACGGTACCTCTGCCTGTCCGAGCACTTTTCACTGAGTTGCATTACCAACATTTTGCTCATCTCATTGTCTCATCTCATATTCCATGTTCACACCCCTAAAACGCCGCTGCTCGCCCTGCTCTGTTCAGATGTGCATGATACGAGACAACATGAAGTCAGTCCAGGACCGACTCCTCAGCGAGATGGTTAGTGGACACAGGACACTCTTCTGCGTGGATCAGAACAGAACAATCAGGCTGGTTTTCCCTTTGTGTCCTTCACTCGTTCCACAGCCTTTGTAGAACACGCAGCCTTGACAGAATTTATGACTCAGTTCATTTTAATGAGGCGTCTTTTTTTGGCTTATTTGCAGCAAGAAGTGGACCTCCAGAGTGTGAAGACAGGCCTGCATGCTTTCTTTTTCCCCTGATGGAGCCTTAGTTTTGGGCTGAACAAAGTCCCGCCCAGGGATCGCTACAATATGAACATGGTTGTGTGTTTCACCACATGATGTACACGTTAGTGTGTACTTCCACTGTGCTGGTTTCATTTCAGAGGGTTCGCACTGAGTACTGATTCTTCCAGGTTCTGCTTCAATTGTACTTGGATGTGTTTGGTTTATTCTGAAGTGGATGTATTGTTGCTTTATGTTTAATATAATTAGAAATGTTTTTCTGATATTAATTATTTAATGACATTTTTTTAGTGTTCTTTGAAAGTAAGCACAGGTAATAAGCGGTTGGGCTCTGTCACATTTTTAATACAAATTCCTGATTTATTTATGTATACTAGTAAAGTATGGAAAATTGCCAATTCATTAAACAATGAAATTGTTAAATCTATCAATTGTTTTTAAGTCTTCAATCTGATTCTTAATTGAAAATAAAACTGTTTACAAAAGAGATAAGCCATTCTTAAAAAAAAGACCTTGTATTTTGAAGACAAGTGGTGCTTACAAAGGTAATTCTCATTTCAGTGAAGACATTTACGTCCCATTCAGATCGACATACTATATGTACAGTTAATATCAAAATTCATCCCCAATACCACCACCCCCTCCCCTCCCCCCCGTGGATCGCACAGTCTTAACACAGTCCAAGTGACACATTATTCATGGGTTAAGAAAAGGTGAAGCTGGTCACATGCACAACTTCTTCCAACAACACCGCCTTGTCAAAGGATTCCATGAAATAGTACCGAAAAAAACCCAACACTGACTGAATGACATAATTGTTTTTGTTGTTTTCCCCTTCGGGCTCTCATCCAGAGAGCCACCGGTCCACTTCCACCAGCCAGCGTCCACATGGCGCCAGTCGGTGGTCTCCAGGACACGCTGCCGCAAACGCCCCCAGCGGCTCCTCTCTCACACCCTCATACGGAGGGTCTCACAGTCCAGGCTGCTGCAAGAATGTTAAAAGACGCGCTGAAGACAAACGGGCCTCAGGCTCTTTCAACTTCGCCGCCGCTGCTCAGCTTCAGGCATTTTTAAAAATGTATTTCAGAGCTCAGCATTTCTTCACAGAAGAAACTTCCCCCGCCGCTTTCATGGCCGGTGGAACCTGGAGAGACGAGCAGAGAGAGAAAAAACATGAGCAGAGGGTTCCTCTGTCATCGCACACGGCGTCACTGCAGCTGTAATCAGTTTTGTGGGGCTATTTTTAGCGCAGTCATTACACGCGCGCACACACACACGCATCCAGTCCTCCCTATAACTCACAACAAGGATCCCTGCTTTCCAAACACATTTATCCAAGGACATCGAGGCATTTTATCCTTTCTCTCTCTGCCCGGGAGGACAATCTCTCCAGAGGACCCTCCCCCCTTAACCCCCGTTCACAAGTACTCCCATCCATCTTTAGCTCATTGTGCTCTCCGGATGAGCAAGGAGAGCTAAATATAGACTGTCGCAGCCCAGAATAGCCCACGCATGCATTACCATACGCCTACCACACGCAGCAACACACGCAGCAACACACACTGACCTCGTAAGGTGTTTGCTTGAGGCGTGCACTTCCATCTCGGTGCTTTTGAACTCATTAAGCTCTTTTCGGATTGCAGCCTGTGCAGAAGAGAAAACAACGTTAGTGCATCCTAAGCCATTGGGGTGCTGTAACCTTTGGACAGCCAGGGGACCACAGGAGGAGCAAGAGGGGAAAAAAACAAAGATAACAGGGGGCTTTTTGTTTGTCCTGAATGGTGAACTTGCTCGGTGTGACCAAGTCCAAGTGACCAGTGGCAGGTCGTAAGGGTGGAAATGAATGGCTGTGATGTCTTCGCTGTCAAATGCGAGTACGCACCTTGTCTGCCGCCGAGAGCCGAGTCCAGGGCTTGTCTGCTCTCCTGTCGTAGTCCTGAGCTTTGGCCACCTCCACGTAGTCACTGAAGCGGATCAGAATCTTTCTGTCCCGTAGTTCGTCTACCGTGGGCCGCTGGTTGAGCTGGAACATGAGAGATTGAGCCAGTTCAAAACGGCGTTCATTTGGTTGATATTGTTCTGGAACCAAATGTCTCTAATGTAAATGTATATGACAAATCCATAATCACACGGCGTCGTGTACCTTTCTGTTTAGCCGCTGTTTGATCTCCCTCCTCTCCTCTTGCTCTGTTTGATCGTTTCTCTCTGGAAAAAGGGGAGAAAAAGGGCAAATTCGAATTTCAAACCCATTGAGAATCAACACACACAAAAAATAAATATATATATAAATATAGATATGTAAATATATATGTGTAGATATATGATTGTATACTGTAAACACATATATATATTTGTGTGTTATTTTGCTCCTGAATAACACACCACACTGCAATCCGCCTTATCATTAATGCATCATCTTGCCCCGTTGCTTAAGTGTTCTCCATCCGATTTTTGTTTTGTTTTACACATTTATTTTGAATAGTAGCTCCAAGTTGGGAGACAGCAGTGCAAGTGCTTGAACTCACGTTTCAGTATGTTCCGACTCTCCAGCTCCTCCACATTGGGTCTCTGGCTCAGCCTCCTGCGGAGAAACACCAACACCACGTTTTGAACCATGTCGCGTCCGCTCCCCTTTACACCGGCTGCAGCTTCTTGGCTGTGCGCGTTCTCGAGAGGAATCCCCTATGTCTCCATCTCGCATCCAAACCGCGGCTGTGGTGCTTCGGCAGAGGCGCGCCCCACATCTGGAATAGTCGGAAGAAGCGCGACTCTCTCGTTTGAGAATATTCCAAACCGGATTATTTCTCGGTGTCCGCGCGCTGCATCTCGCGGCGCGGCAGTCCTCGACACTCCCGACGCAGCGAGCACTACGAGCGCTTTTGAGCTGAGTCGTGATGGGCTGCTGGCGCGCGACTACCCTAGTTTCCCCGGTTACTGCATGCATAATTTCTAGGGGGCGGAGCCATAACAGGCTCCCGCCCACTCACGGCATCCCCAACCTCGTGCTGTACACGGAGGCACGGGCCTTTTACTCATGTGGTTCCTTGTGTTTCTGGTCACGTAGACCAGGACAGGGGTTTTTTAATTATTATTTTTTTTAAAGAAAGTCAAATAAACCCAGAATAGAATACTTGGTGGATTAGAATAATTGTCAATGTCTCCTTTTCTCTAACGTTCAGATCACACCTACAGTGGTAGATTCATTTCAAGCTGTCACATTCCACCGTCATCAAAGCATCCCAAAGGTCTCCAAAATCCAATGTTTTCCCGGAGTCCCCTGTGTGTTTGAACTATTCATGCATGAATAATAAATGCAAGCTGCACAACAGGGCTGCGGCCCAGACGGCATGTGGCACGGCACACCTCCAGAGGTGGAAAGGACAGAGGGGGCAGAGTGCCGCCACGCAGCAGGACTCCCTTTATACCCTCACCCGAGGTAACGCTGGGGACTTTAAACTTCTGTTCTGTGAAACATCAAAGTTAGGTCACACGGACTGAACGCCCAAAGTCAACGGGCAAACGTGTGTGTACCTGGCTGCATGAGCACGGAAGAGCTATGAAAATAACATCTAGCTATCTAAACTCGGTTAATCAAGCGGGATTTTAACTGACTTTACAAAAACAGGTTGTTCTTTTCTTAATTATGCTATTAGATTTGTTTTCTACATCACAGAGGAAAGAAATCTGGCTGCACGGACACAAACCCCACTGAATAAATATTGTAATGAGTGCAACAAAGCAGTCTGGTTGGTGTCTAATCAACATGCATGATAACCCTGTTTTCGGTATGATGGATACATTTCTTTCAATCCTCCTCCTCTGTGGAGTTCCCCTTTTTATCATAGTGCTTTTTTGTTAGATCAGTTGTACAATCCAATCCTAAAATCTCATCGGGCGGAGAACAGTCCAAGACAATGGTTGTTTTGTGACTTAGATAAACAAACAAAGAGACAAAGTCTTCCCAGAGCACTCAACAGTATTACATTTCAAGCAGATGAAACACAAAATCACTTCCAAAGCCCCAGCGAATACGACCATCCACCGTATTATTGACCCGGCCACCGAGTTGCTAAGCAACAACACTTGGTATCCTTGAGACAATGCAATCTTCCCTCAGAAATTCTCACTTCTCCCTAGCAACACGGTAATGGGGATTTCACCATCGCACACAGAGACGTATGCGCTTGAGAGAGAGAGAGAGAGTCTGTGGCTATTTTTAGCCCCAGAGCGGTTTCCTTGCCGGTGAGATCGCTGTCAATATGAAACACTATTTTAGCGGTCGGATTTTCCTTCCTTGTGAGCCGCACAAATCACAAAACCGTATTACTCTGCTGCTATCCGGTGTGTGAAATTGGTAAACAGAGATAATCACTACAAGAGATGGACTTTGCACCCGTGAATCACCCCGTGCGTTCTTCATCAGCGATTAGGGTTCCCTTTCATAGAAATTGATTTCGAAAGGTATCCCCGCAATACCGGGATGACGCAACGGCCGTTAGCTCGAGGGTGTCCATTTCCCACTCGGGATATCCTGCATCAAAATAAGTTGAAATAGAAAGTCTAACCGTGTGGGCCAAAGGAGAAATACAAAATCTAAACAAAGGAATAGAAAAGCAAGGAGTGGGTGGCGGAGGCTTCCCGTCTGTTCTCTTATTTCAGTCCCCAACTGTGCAAGGAGATCAAATTGGCCTTTCCCAGCTTTCTTCCTCCTCCTTAGTACAGTAGGTAATCGCCACCTGCTCCTCCCCTCTATTATTTCCCGCTGATCTAACTCCCCAACAACACATTTGCGGAGAGAAGGGAGAGCGTGAGGAGATGCATTATTGAACAGTGTCAGTAGCTATGATTAGAAACAGCAGAGTGCGGCTGCAGCACAAGTCTCTAAAGATAGAAAGGTCGTCTATCACTGACACAATCACAATGACGAGGTGTCGTTATCCACCGTATGACCTGACGCCATTTTCCGCCTGATCGGCAGCACGTGTAACAGTAGGTCTGCATGGTGGGCTTCAGATAGGAAAGGAGAGAAGAGCAGATTGAATGTAGGTGGGAGTCACCCGGAAAAATCCAGATGAGTGTGTGATGGGTTTTTTCCTCATTTAGTGCGAATGCCCTGGGGAAATTAGCATTTTCCCTCCCCTCTAGTGTTCTAAGCTTTTTTTTAGCAAGGATTTCCTCCCCAAATGGTGCATAATGCATTCAATGTATCCATGTACTGTACTGCGTGATGAAAACGCATTTTCTTGCGTTTGATTGACAATCCAGGTGATATTTACATAAGTTACAAACGTTATTTATAAGTGTCAGTGTGAAGCATACAAATCTTATTTAGTCTGCATTATTTTATTTTTATGCTTTATGTAACAAGCAGTGGATCCTTCCGTCAAAACACAAACCCCACTGGCTCCTTTGCAAGCTGCTGTCATG